TGATGGAGTAAACAGCAGGTAGTTGAGACTCATCACTGCTGTGGAAAAAGAACAAGGAACAAACTTTCCACATGGGCTGCATTTAATCAGCTGACTTCTTCTACAAGATGGATATACAATCAATGTATGAAAAAAATATCTGAAATAAATGATTCCTGTTTGGATTGTTATTATCATTTTATTTATTTCTAACTAAATTCCATAGTCTTGGTTGTTCAGAATCCCCTCATTGTAATGTCACATTCCGTGTATCATTCTAAAGGCAGCAGAGACATAGAACACTCACTCTGTAGCAGTGCACACACACTTCCGACATCTGAGAGCATTCGTATCACAGAATATCTTGGTTTTACTCGAGAAACTTCAACAATGTCATGTGTTCTGACTCTTTACAAGAGCAGATCAGTGTTTCGTGACAAACTGAGCTGCTGTATTTTTGTGAAGGTGTAACAACGCGTATTTAATCTGCAGCGTCTCTCATCTTGTGCTGCTGCAGCTTTTACGTTAATGTGACAGAATTCAGTTCAGTTCCACGTTGATTTGGAAGTCACTCGTTGCTGGCAGATTGTTGTGTTGCACAACTTTTAGAAAAAAGTGACACATTGTTGACTGAATTACTTGACATGAATATTTTGGTTTTGGTTTTTGCACTGCATGGAGCCAATGAGCCCCATTATTCATGTGAAATATGATCGAGGGCTGTCATCCAGCCTGAGATGACACACATTGTCATGGATGAACTCAGAATGCTACTGGCTTTGTATCAAATACACAAAACCATGAGAGATGTATGACATATATGAGATATATATCTGAAAGATCCAAAAAGCTTGGATGCTTTTATTTCTTGCTTCTCCTATTGTATCACCTAAACTCAGTCTGTACTGATGTAAACTGTAACTTTAGTGCTTGAATTGGGTGCAGGTTGATCAATAAATGAAATGCAATGCAGAAGACCCAAGTTGTTGACTGGTTTTCCTCTATTACAGAGAACAACACGCAGGGTGTCAGTAGCAGCCATAGGAGGTCTAGTGGTGAAGCACAGACACCCAGCAACACAATCAAGTGGACTCTTATCCCCATCACCTTCGAATCCACTGCAAAACCAATGGGTTTGGCAGGCCACGTGAGAATGAGGGAGGCTGCTGATCAGGGTGTGGCTACTTGGGAGGAGATATTGGGTAGTATAAGTGACAGCAGCAGTGACAACAGCAGCAGCAACATCAGGAGCAGCCATAGCAGCAACAGCAACAGGAACAAACCTTCAAACCAAACAGATTTCAGTCGCAAAATGCCTTTGAGTTTTTCACCTGAAGAGGAGAAAATCATTGAGATGTCCTCCTCAGCAATGACAAACAGAAGTTAGCAGATAGTGTGAAACACAATGAAAGTCAGTTTGTGTGCTATAATTTCTATGTCGCTAAAGGAAGGCTCACTACCAGCTCCTGGTAGGATTGGAGAGCATTTAAATTAGGACTCTTCCATGTTTGTAACCTGTAATTTTCATTCCTAAATTAGGTGCAGGTTCATCATTAAGTCAAAAATGCTGAGTGCAGACCACAAGACCCACGTTAATAATTGATTAGATTTATATAGCGCTTTTCTAGACACTCAAAGACGCTTTACACTGTCAATTATTCATTCACACACATTCATGCTGGTGGTGGTGGTAGTTACGATTGTAGCCACAGCTGACAGACTGACAGAGGCGTGGCTGCCATTCTGCGCCTATGGCCCCTCTGACCACCACCTCAAACAATCCATTCATACGCATTCACAAGGTGGGTGAAGTGTCTTGCCTAAGGACACAACGACCATGAAACAGGTTACAGGGCGGAATCGAACCGCCGACATTCCGATCATCAACTGACTCGCTCTAACACCTGAGCCACAGCCAAAACGGGTCCAAATGGCTCTTTGAATTTTATGTTTTACACTTGCATTTGCCTTTATTAGCCGGTTGACCGTATTAACTTCATACGTGGTTAGGGTTACGGTTAGGTGATTGTCACCTTGCTCAGAGCACATTTCTGCCACAACCCCGACATGCGCCGCATCTGACACGCGGAAGTGCGAGGGCCGGTCCAACGCTGCTTGCAGCTTTAATTTTTATACCGACTTTTGAAATGCGATTTTGAGGGCCTAAACATGCACGAAAACTCACCAAAATCGCCACACACATCAGAACTGGCAAAAAATTTGATATTTTAAGGGAGTTGGACATCTCAATGCCAAAATGGCTCCACAGCGCCACCTTGAAAATTTCAACGGAGTTCCATCTGAAGCACGTTTGACCTTGACCTACACAATTTGGTAGGTATATGGAGGAGGTCAGGACGAACAAAAAAGTCAGTGACAGCCATACCCTAAACCCAACAGGAAGTCCACCATTTTGGATTCTTCGTTTGTCCAACCTGAGCTAACTCCTCCTTGGGGGTAAGTCACAGAGTGCTGAAATTTGGGTAGCATGTAGAAAACGCCTTGAAGGTAAAATGTTGTCAAAATCATCTGCAAAGGTCAAAGGGCGTGGCCACGGCGGCCCTCTGATTTTTAATCCTTCGACATAAAAGAGGAAGTACTGTCTAACTACCCTGTACATGCTCCAATCTGCCTCAAACTTTTCATATTTGATCAGACTGCTGTCCTGATCACATCCATATGCTCAAATCTATTCACAGTCATAGCGCCACCTATTGGTAACAGGCTGTTTGAGGCATTACACTTCCATGTGCCATTGCTTTAAACTTTGTGATATCATTCATAAAATTGGTCAGCTAAGTCTTCCTACATTGATGATGCTACAGTGCGAAGCGCTTGCATTTTCAAGCAACAGTGTTGCCACGCATAGTTGCTTTGACACAGAAAGGATTTTTTGACAGCTTTGGAATGCTCATAAACTCACCAAAATTAGCATACGAGTCACTATCAACTCAACCACAGACAATGTATGCCAGTTTGGCAAAATGGCTCTATAGCGCCGTTGCAGCCATTTCTCCATTAGCCCCCGCAGGACGTTTGACCGACATTTACAAAATTTGGTAGGCATATGGAAAGCACAAAGGACGCACAAAAAAGCCTCTTGGACCCATACCGTAAACACAACAGGAAGTCTGCCATTTTGAAATAACTGCAGTTTTTTGTGGTTTTTGTCATATTCAAGAGCGAACTCCTCCTAGGGGTTAACTCCTACACGCCTCAAATTTGGCCAGCGCATACAACAGGGCTTGGTGATTAAAAGTTATCAAAACACTCCACAAAAGTCTGAGGGCGTGGCAATGGCAGCCCTCTGAATTATGATGATTCGCCATCCAAAACGAAGGGTGTCTAACGACCCTGTACATGCTCCAATCTGCCTCAAACTTTACAGACTTGATCACAGTCTTGCCCTGATGAAACCCACATGGCAATATCCATTCACAGTCATAGCGCCACCTGCTTGCAACAGAAAAGCATGTGTTTTGCACTCTCATGTGCATTTGTAACATCTACTACGGCCAGCACGTTTCACCTACATCCATGACATTTGGTGGACATTTGCAGCACATCCAGACGAACAGAAAAGCCTGGGTGCTATTCACCTAAACCCAACAGGAAGTCTGCCATTTTGGATTTTCTGTTTCTCCACCATGAACATACTCCTCCTAGGGGGTAAACCACAGAGCGCTGAATTTCAGGTAGCATGTAGAGTACTATTTGAAAGTAAAAATTTCTCAAAAGCTCTGTATTTCGTTGAAGGGTGTGGCCGCCCTCTGATTTTTGATCCTTCGCCATCACAAAGGAACGACCCTGTACATGCTCCAATCTGCCTCAAACTTTGCATACTTAATACCCTGATGAAACCCATATGCCAATATCCATTCACAGTCATAGCGCCACCTGCTGGCAATAGGAAAGAACATGTTTTACACTTTTATTAGCAGGTTGACTGTATTCACCTCAAATGGAATGAGGTGAGCCTTTAGACGTTGATAATGACTCATACCAACAATTGTGAGTCTTCATCAAGCGGCGTGTCTGTGGACAAACAGCGCCACAACAGCATTCTGCCGCAACCCCGACGTGTGCCGCGTCCGACACCTGCTGAAGTGCGAAGACCCGTCCATCGCCGCTTGCGGCTTTATTTTTTTTTTTTTTGCTCTTTCATATTAAAATGATCACAGTATTGCTTTAAATTTTTTGTGGTGCTACACCTTTGCTAACGAACAAATTAGCAATAAAGTAAGACTTCAAATAAGGTTCTGCTTCATCTGAATTTAGGGCATCACTTGCTGAATATTTACCTATAAGTAGACACTACAATTTACCGATGTTCCCTAAATGCCTCACATGCAGGTTATGGGGGAAGCTAACTGGGTGGCTGTGCACAGAGCAGACTCTAGTCTCCTCTCAGTTTCTACATTGCAGCTGCTTAGATAGACGTAACCACAGGTTCTTCTGAAGAGTTAAATAATGCGTTCTAATGTCAGATTCAACCATGCTGAAACCAAGTGATTTTATCTAAATGGGCTATTTGCTACGGGCAAATTTTCTGAGTGGACCGCAGTCGCCTTTATCTCATTGCGAGAAGCCAAAATCATGATCGTGATTAATATTCCGTTAATTGTGCAGCGCTACAACTGATGTTGCATTTTATTTCCAAACACATTTTCTTTTTGCTGTGTACATGTCAAGCCTTCATGTCAAAATCCATGTCTTGTAAAGAAAGTCTAAAACCCCCCCCCCAACCTTCTCTTGTAGATTAGTCATGAAAAAATGAGAACTGTGCAAGTTTTGTATCAAGTAACAAAAAGAAGTTGTAACATGACATGTTTCAGTTAATTTGCCTTGCTTCGCATTGCACATCCTGCGAGTTGACTATTACACAATGCCATGAAATGTCTGAAACAAAATAACGTGCAGCTCTAATTTTAATAGTTTTTTGTTTTCAGTTTGGGCTTGAGTGAACTTTGATGTATTTATGACTAAGTTTAGCAGCACATGAAAACACATGAGCATGAGTGTTTACAGTAGTGAAATTAATAACATTTATTCAAACATTAATTAAGAGCAGCAATAGAAACAAATAAAAGTACAATGGTGCTAAAAAACTTCAGCAAGCTCAGAATATTTTCATTATTTGAAACATAGTACTCTGTTCCAGTAAATACTTTACTGATAAAAACTCAATAAATCAAGGAGATGAGTATCTTTAGTTTCCAAAGACAGACACCTGTTGAATCCAGTAAGCTGCAGAGATCAAGGGTTTCAGGAGGACGCCAATCAGAAGGACAGGTTGATGAGCGGAGCGTTGTCCCTCTTGTCATCTGGACTCCACTTGATAAGTGGAGAGCTCAAGTCAATCAGCTGCTGAAACAAAGCAAATGCGTGAAATACATAAATAAAGTCATTTTAAAAGGTGTGATTTCAAAATCTAGTCAAGAAAAAAACTAAAAACTATTATATCCTTTAAGACTCCCATATGATATGATTCCACCTGCACTCTTCAAACACATCGCCTCCCGCCTGACAATTTGACAAATTGTATCTGCTTGATACAATTTGGACAACACTGTTTAAAATATAGTTGTCAGTATCTTAAAACAGACCAAAGTGCAATTAAGTACACAAGTAGGGCTGTCCATATACTCTTTTGCTGTATTATAACAACACATCATCTGTCTGGACACCGAGGTGGATGTCAGTTACCTGAGTGGTGGTGCAGCTCTTACTACTGGTGCGGATCAAGTCAGGCGTGTTAGTCAAGTCGATGAGCAGTTTCTCTTGAGGCTGCAGAGTTGGAGGTGGAAGGTCCAGCAAAAGAACCTGTGGAGAGACCACAGAGATCGTCAGAATAATGAGGTACTCTTAAGGAATTAAACTGATCAGACAGAAATTGGGGAAAGAATTCTGAAGTGAATCAAGGTTTTGGACACAATGAATGATCCTATCCTTTACTTTCAGGCTACAGACACAGAATCTGTTTTAAGTTTGATGATAATATTTGTTTTTCAACAAATTGTTGGTGAAAAGCTTCTCCTTAAATCCATGCAGTGCAGTCATTACACAGGATTGTCCACTTTACCGTCAGTGAATTCTTAATGATCCCAGCTGCTTCAAAGTAACCCCAGTATATGTGGCTGAAATACACCTGAAAGAGCTCCTATTGAAAGTCATCTTTTATCCATCATCATTAGACAAGTTAAATAAAGACTCAAACCATCTGCCTCAGTCTGAAAATCTGAGATGCTATAAGCTCAGGTCATAGCACTTTGCACTGTTCAGACAATAATATAGGCCTGTTGCTCAGAGCACTTATGTGACTTGCTGGGGGTGAATTCATTGATCACCTCACTCATTAAGTTATATTCCATTTTAGCTAGCCATGTTACACTGTGCTGCTACAGGTACACATGCTAAGGTTGTGCTTGGACACATCCTAATGATCCATGAACCAAAGACCTACAACTCTGTATTTGTCTTTGTGCTTGCAGAATAAAAAAAAAGGATATTTGTGTCACTCATGTTATAATACACAGATTTTATGACAATACAATTGCTTTTCAAATTTAATTCCAGAGAAATCCAGGATTTAAAAATTCTTTTGCAGACACTTCTAACTGGCGTTTATGTGACCTCTGACCTCCTGTGTCTTGCTGTTGCTCTCCTCGGAAGTCTCCAGTTCCATCAGGTTTCTGCTGGGCACAGATTCACTCTGACTCGGTGCTTCAGGATCCATGCTCTCTGATTGGTCAGGCTGCTGAGTGTTTGAGGGCGGGGAGGGAAGGTGCTCCTCCTCCAGACAGAAGGGCTGGATGTGGAGAGCCTCAGCAGGTTCCTCCTCCTGTGTGTATGTGGGAAGAGGACTACAAGAAGAAGACAAATTCAACAACAGAGTGATGATGTTTCATGGGTGAAAGCAGGTGACCAGCAGTTGGTCTGCCCCTCAGAGATCAGAGAGCCCTTTTGCGACTGGTTAGGGGGACTTAAGTTTAAAGCATCTCACCTGCAACTGCGTTCTTTCCTAGCTGAGATCGGGGTGGGGTGGGAGTCAGAGTTAGAGATGGCTGGAGGCCTTACAGTCTGGGATCGGTTGGTGGGCGTGGGGGCAGGGATGGCAGAAGTCCTGCGTTTCACTGGTGTTGGGAGGGCAGAGGGGCGCCGAGCCTTCAACTGCAGGGACTTGCAGCTGTTAGCAGAGGGTGTCAGAGAACCAGAAGATGGCTTCTGATAAACACTATAGGAAAGGAAGATGTTAGGTGGTTGACCTGTAAAAAACTTAATGGCTGGTAGAATGTATCCCCAACAAATCCAACTCTAGACCTCAGACTGAAGCAGCACAGATGGGACAGCACGTGTATTAAAGGAGTGTCAAAGTTTGTTTTTAAACCTGAATGGCATGTTCACAATTCATAATATTCAGCAGTACTTGCTGTAAATTTCTCATTTCAATCTAATTAGTTCCACCATTCACACATTCACAAGCACTTCTGTAGAGATGGGCATCTGTCTCAACTTCCAAATGATCACACAAGGTTCTGCTCTGTTTGTGGGCATGTTTTGTTCACAAGAATTACTAACAGTAAAAGTCATTATTTCAAATTGATGAGGTTGAAGTTCTGAACAAATTCATCATTGTAACAAAATCTGACTTACTTTCATACACATGAATGATGTCAGTGTACAACTGACAAGACAGAAACTGCAGCTGGCTGCAACATTTATATTTGACAGTGGTTTAGTGTAGAGGTGGAGTGAGACATTGTCTACCTGTCCATGCTGTTAGTAGACATCAGCCTCTTTGGTTTCAACACCTTGGAGACATCTGGAGATGACACACAAAAACAGAATGAGAAACAGACAGCTACATCAAAGAATCAAACGCTGAAACTGAAAACCCACATTAATTTGATCCCAAAGATTTAAATGAAAACAAAAGCACTTCAGTCAGACCAGTAGGCGCTAAACTCTTAGATTGGGTTTGTCATATTTTGTTAGAGAACCACACTGAGGCTCTGGGTCCCTGCAGCAGGGTTTACAGGTAACCTACACAGAGTTGTGTCTGTCACGGCGCATGTTGAGCAGCTGATGGCTACACTGATTGAGGTAAGGTTTCAAGAACAGCTCATGCTTTGTCTGGGTTGGATCTGATGTTTTCTTGGATTAAATAATCCAACTATTGTCATATTTGATCAGAACAGAATCGTTTTCCAAATAAAATCAAGCATGAAACTGATCTTTTAACTGAATAAACAGCTCTGACATTATGTAGCAAAGACGTTCATTTTGTCCTTTAAAATACAAGTAGATTTAAGAATTTTCCTTGTAATAGGACAATGGTACGAAGTTGTTAGCTGATGGAACGCCGAAACATGTCAAGGTACATCTAACAACTTCATACCATTGTCCTATTACAAAGAAATTCTTAAATCTACAGCTCTGACATTGTCTTTGTCTCTCACCATCTGGACAGTGGACTCCTTTTCCTCCTGTGCTGGGTGTCGGTGGGACCAGGGCCTCGGGTTTAGGTTTGGCCTTTAATCTGCTCTGTGGCTGGCCTGAGGACGTGGTGGAGGCAGACCTCTCCAAAAGCCTCTTGGTGGGTACTGACTGGAGCGGTGTGGCCTCAGCTCTCTTTAGCGGTGTGGATCTAGCAGCTTTGACACGCTCTGCTTCAGAAAGCTTCTTGGCCTGTGTGGAAAGTGAGCGGCGGCCAGCAGTGGAGGACACTGGCTCTGCGGCAGCATAGACAGTGGAGCGGCGAGGTCTGCTGACGTTGCTGGGGGCGAGGACAGTGGAGCCGCTCAGACTCCGATTCAGAGAAGAGTTCAGTTTACCTGAGAGGAGACAGAACACCTGTACTGCAGCACATTCTGATATGATGGTAGATCAGAAGCTAGCTGAATAGTCCACAGTCTTTTAATTAGTTAGCTGTTCATTTAACTGCACAACTAAATAGTTGTGCAATTAAATATTAGCTGATTATTTAGCTCTTAACTGGCAAGAAGTTAGCTGGTTTACTGTTAGCCAAACTGGTTTTGCTGCCATAGCACTCAGCAGATAGTTCATGACTGTTAGCGGGTAGCTGACCTGTTATTTCTATTTATTACTGTCAGAAATGTACAAAATATGTGGGGTTAGGGTTACTCTGAATTCACACATTGGATGCCACAAATGTTCTTCTTGACTTCACATTATTTGATACAGGTGTGAGAATGTTTTGCACCATATTTACTGCAGCATCTGTAGCAAAGAAATGAGCATTTAAGATTCTGAATTTATAGAAAAGACTTTGAGAGGATGTAACTTGTGTGTTGTTTGTAGGAGAGAAATACAGAGCTTGCAATTGCTAAAGAATTTTTCTCTGTGCCTTCAAATGTACTAATACACAAATGTGACTTCTTTTTACAACAAAATCCACTGCTGCAGGTGCTCTTCCTCCAGTAATATTTGTAACATATTACATGTTCAAACATTATCTCCTTCTTGCCAGTGTGTGGTTGATGCAGGCGTACTGTGGCTCTTCGCTGGATCATACCTTTAGCAGGGGACATAGACAGGCTGGAGTTGAAGCTGGACACGGAGGATGAAGATGAGGATGTGTTCTTTCTGTCTGTCACCCTTCTGCTCTGAAGGGGCGGAGCTTTCACACCTGACAGGTTCCTCACACCAACATTCTGCTGAAAAATAAAAAGATAAATTATTTCCACATCATCATAGGATGTCTATGAGGAAATTGTAATAAATCATGATTAGTTTAATGAAATGTGTTCAGTTGCAATTTTGCTTACATATAGTGTTTACTTTTCACATTGAAGTCAAAGCTGTATTCCCTTGGAGGTGCGCAAAACAACAGCTGTGGACACGCAATTATTCATGTTCCATACATACGCAGTAGATGGGTATATACATATTGTGCGTATGCATGCATTGTACTGTAGTCACAACAAATTGGAGGGTACAAGGATGTCTGCATAGAGGCTCATTTACACCTTCTGGTGAGATAATTTACATCACTTAAACCCCATTAGGGTTCAAGTGATGTAAATACGTGTCTACTCAGGGATGCAGAATTTATAACAATTGTCTGAAAATACTAAACATATACTGTGATAATTATTGATCAGTGTGAAAAGAATATTTTAATAATGTTTACAGCCACATCAAATCAGCCTTAGTCCCACTTTAAAAATTTTAATGTATGCTACACTTAACACACACGTGAAGCACAGAACCAAGTGTACCCCACAATTCAATATCTGCCTTTCGGGGGAAAAACACCATGACTTGTTTGTGTTTATTTAAACCTGTCATGAACGGATTTGTTTTGGTGGAACATTTACACGCAGGGAGACGAGTGCTGTCATGAAAACTTGACATTGTCATTGTGATAGTTTGCTGCCTGGAGGTTGTTGTTGTTTCCCAAAGTGACTTCAATTTTGAAAACAGCAACATGTAGATACTAGAACGAGAAGACAAAGTTGACTAAAATGAGCAGCCAAGCTCCAGCTTATTCCCACATCCTATATCCACTGAGTAAGACTGTTGTTAAGACTATACAATCTTGTAGCACTCAGAGTGTGATCAAACTCAAGGCAACAGCCACAAAGAAATGTTCAAATAGAATTTCAACAATATATGAGTGGAAAAGGTTTATTTCCATTTAGTATAAACTGAGAAAAGAGAAGAAAGAGAAAAGCGCCATTATCGGTGGTGGTGGGTGGGTCAAGGCAAAGACTGCTTTACAAATGTTTCATGAAGATGAAAATGCATTACACACATTTGGTACACCTTAAGTAGACACAATTGGTTGTGAAAATGAACAGTTTCCCATGTTCAAGGTGCGAAATGAACTGAGGTAAGAGTATTTGAGGTATAGTAGCTTTGGTGAACAGTGGAAATCAAATTTGACTTCTACTTCATTACAGGAAAACTCCACAGGAACTTTTTAAGTAGCAATTTGGCACATACCAGAAATGCAGGGGCAGGAACTGAACTATTCATAGGTAATGCAAGTGCAAGTGTTTGGGTAGATGTGTTACCTTGGTGGGTGGAGCCAGTGTGCGTTTTCCCAAAAGGCTGGAGTTGAGGGAGGAGTCACTGACGTCAGAGGCCACACTCGCTGAATCAGAGAGCAGATCCTCATTTGATTCTGTCCTGCTGGAGAGATGAGAGGACGGGCTCCGTCTCAAAGCCCCTACCACCTGAAACAGGAAATAAGAAAGCTGACATCACCACAATATCATTGATCTGTTACCAGATAATAGCTTTTTCTAAAGGTTTTGATCACATATGAGATGTTTGAATTCCGCTTGAATGCCAGGAGCTGATATTTACCTAAACCTTCCAGTTTACTACAAGAAAAGGAGAAGAATTTCCAGAAACATCTTCAACCCTACAGTTCATGTTTTGTGCTATGCTAACAGTAGCTACATATTTACCATGTAGACACCACTGTCTTAGCCTTCTTTCTATCCAGCCGTCAAAAGCAAATAATCATGTCTCAAATTTTTAACTAGTTTTAACAAGTTCCCAACTGAATACAATTTATTGCAGGTGCTGTTTAAAAAACTTTTCCATGCATATACGAAAGACAATCAATGTTGGCTCTGCTTCACTGCTGTTTCTACAACTGAACACTTCCACCTAGTTTTTAAATGCATCAGAAAAAAAGAGAAGCATGTACCAAAGACTCACAAAGCTCATTTTCTGGGTGGGGTCATCAAATATTTAGGTGCATTATAGACTGCATGCTGTGTGTTAGAAAATCCTACTTTTCTTGGTGGTTGCATTCTTGTTTTCTCCACCTTGCTCTTGTTGGCTGAACAGGAAGTTGTTGGAGCAGCCGGCTTGCTAGGCAGCACGGCAGCAACCCCCAGCGCAGCTTTCCCTCGCAGCGACATCCTGGCCTGGGCCTTTTGTCCAATCACAGGGCTGGAAGTGCTGAGTCTGGTCGTGGGGCGGCTGGATGAAGCTGTCGTAGCAGAAGGGCGAGTGGATGACACTCTTGTAATAGAAGGTCGTGTGGATGCAGGTGCTTTGGAGGCGCTCCCTCTCAGCAGGCTGCGCTGGATGGCAGGTGGCAGCTCCTTCATGGGACTGTCCTGCACACAGAAGGTCTGCCGTTTGATGGGGCTGAGCACACTGGCAGTCTGACCCAGCATACCCAGTTTGGCCTTAGAGTCCTCGACAAATTCTTCTCTTTCAGTCGTGGTGTCGGTGGTCATGCTGGTGATGTCAATGTCCTCGCCATGAGACTCGCTACTCTGCAGCTGGTTGGCTAGTCTGTGGGCTTCCTGACATACAGCCTCCAGCTGATCTCCACTCAGCGGGCTCCAGCTCGCCTGCACACCGCCACTGCCATCCTCGACCCGTGATGCCACACTGACAGATACACACTTCTCCTTATGGCTGATGGGACCCACAAACACCTCGTCTTCATCTTCATCGCCTATGGAGCTGCAGAGCAGAGACACCATTACTGACATGACTGCTAAGAATGAAACAAACAGCTCACAACGGTGATGATTCAGAATATTAACTTCAAAATCATAAAGGACAACGGTGACAGCAGTTTATAATCATCTGGATTTTTTAAACCTAAAAAAAGATGCCAGCAGCGGACAAGCTGCTGTTTGGACTCTGTTTCATAATGCAGTAATAAAAAGAGATCCTTGTAGAATTGCTGCAGTGTTAGCATCTTTAGGAAGCAGTCAACTAGTGAGACCAAATAAACTGCCAACTCTGTGCTGTTCAGAGTCAACATCAAGATGAAGTTGTCTACGTTGAGTGGAACTTATCACTGCACTGTGCCCCACTATAACTGTATTTTTTATTTTTTTTTTTACATTACTTTTGTCTGTCAGTATATCATTGATTTTCATCCATTTGTCTGTATTTTTAAATCTCATTTTATTCTTGTCTTATTACTCACTGTTTTTAAATATTCTTCTAATTTGTTGTTCGTCTAAGTAGAGTACTTTGAATTGCCTGTTTCTGAATGTGATTTATTAATAAAGCTGCTTTACCCAAATGTACTTCTTCCATTCAGTGCAGTACCAGAATGTCCACAGCAGATGTCACCATTTTGCTTGATCACACAACAGATTTCCAGCATAATGGCAGTAACAAAAAGAAGTTTCATTTTTAATTCTTCAATCCTGTTTTCATAAATACTGATCTGATACTTAACGTGTACTTATAAATATACATGTATACTTATAAATAATGTTGTAGAGGAAAAGTGTCTATTTTTTGTCTTTACACCTAATAGGAGAAACATTAAAAATCCAATAAAATATATTTCTGGAGATAGACTTTTCTGGAAAGAATAGATTTATGGAAACTATCTTATTGCGATTTGACTTGTGATACTTTTTAAAAGTCAAGCTTCAGATCAATATGTACTGTTTGAAAGACTAAAAACATGTGAATGAATACTATCACCAGACTCCAGCAAAAGCAGATGTGACACAAAAAGAGCATGGAGTGACTTTGTAAATCCACTGACATGACAGTGTAACCTCTGGTTCAGATGCACTGTGTATTGTGAACCTAAACTGCAACCCTTGCCATTTGCTAACTGCATTGTTTAATATTGCGATATCAATTTGAAACAAATTCATTTTCCCACCCAATGACAAGTTTTCACAGGTCTCTCTCTTAAGCACTATTACAGCACAAAAAAGGTCTCCAAACTGTAAGGTGTGTCCCGATTCCATACTACATACAAACTGTACAAAGAATGTCTAAATACTCTTTGGAACTTGTTTTTGCAATTAGTATACACATTTACAGACACACCAAAGTATACTTGTGTACAAACAAGCAACATTTAATTGTGTATGCCAGCAGGCTTTAGAAAGCCATCACCACTAAACCCAGAAAAAGACAGCAAAATGTTGATCCAGACATTTTTTAACTTGATTTTTGTTTTTCCTTTAACACCAGATTGGCCCAGAGACTTCACCACTCCCTGATGCTTTGGGACAAAGTCACAAGACTATTCCCAGTTACTCAGGTACAGGTTTTATTTTCAAAAAGGTATTCTTTTGAGCTGATGATCTAACTGTACACGAAATGATAAGATGTTCGCCTGGGCCAAAACCACTTTATAAATCCAGTATCCTGAGAGCTTCCCTCACAGTGTTAACCTGTCAGTCAGGTGAACGAAGCAGTGCTGGTATCAGTGAGAGAAGTGGTGATTCTAGTCCTGGCAGTAAGTTCAGTTCAACAGGAACCTTTCTGTGTTTCTTACCTGGCAGGTGACATTGAAACATCGAAGTCAAACTTCTCATCAGGCAGAAAGAACACATCTACAGAGACACAAGTAAGGGATTAAAGAGTTAATAACACACAAGCATGTTATGAACAGGGTCTGGAGGCCAGGGAGTGAGTGTTGACTTACCGCTGTTAGCTCGACTGTCCATCCCGCTGTTTGCTCTTCCCTCTGGGAAACAGATTGGTCCCGATTAAACATTAAATTAAAATGTCAATATTTTATTCTAACACTGACAGACAGCGCAGAGACAGGATCTAAACACTAATATTATCTCTAACCGTCATGCCAACTCCATCTTTATCTTTACTCGCCATGCTAACTTTAACGTTAGCCTCCTAGCCCGTTAGTTAGATCAAACTTTAACAGATATTTGCGTTAATTAAGAGTTTAAATGTACATTTAGGTTCATGCAACGGCGCACGGGACTTATAAGGAGTCGCACATAAATGTATAAATACAAACCTTTAGTTCCTTTGAAACTCACAAATCTTTTCTGCCCCGCATTCAAAGTGCAACACGAAAAGGAACAACCTCTCAAACAATTCAAATCCACTGCGCTGATGGTCATGTGACTCGGACGTATTCAGCCATTGGTTGAGGGTGTGTGACGGAAGATTGAGAGGAGTTGTGGGGCTTGTAGTCCAAAGCAGGTTCAAATCAGTTTCCGGATTTTAATACCTACAGTACAGGTTAAGATAGTTGTATTTTTTAATGTGAATAAATTGATGCTTACTTAAATTCTTTTTAAATTGTGTTCTTTGTATGACTATTTTGTTGCTTAAAATGAACTAATTTCTTTCTTGAGTACAGATTTGTTTGAATTTTTCTCTCTTTTATTATATGCTTATGTGTTCTCTGTAGTGTTACTAAACATGTAATATAATGATTTCTTTATTTATATAAGAATATAGATATGCAACGTGTATATACACATTACATTATATTGAATATGTTTAATTATAATATTAAAATAATATATTTTCATTTAATAAGAAAAAATAATAGAAAAAATGTCTGTGGAAGACATATCTGTTAAAGATTTTCTAACCACGTGGCCTTGAAGTGTGATCCAAGACAAAGTTAATGCTTTATATATATTAATTGTTGTTATTTTTGTCAGAAAACATACATATAAGTATATGTCTAACAGGAAAAAAGGCAATCTATACAGATAATTAGAGCAAAAATCTTTTACAATCACCATGTAATATTGACACACAGCACTAGGGGTATAATGTTATAATGTTAAAGTTATAGTGACAAAAACTGTCCTGTACCCCTTCTGTGTTCTGCTGGGAAACCTTGTGTGCTGGCACTCATGTGGATGTTACTTTAGCATGTACCTTCCTAAACATTGTTTCAGACCAAGTTTAATTAACCTTCCCTCGCAGGACAACGCCTTTAGCCATACCACAGAAACTGCTCAGAACAGCTTGAGCAGCACAACAAAGAGCTGAAGGTGAAGCTGAACAGTTAGCTGGATGTAATGGGAATATGGCTGATATAGCTAAAAGTGATAGATAATGTTTCAAATAAAAGAAATGTTTGAAATGTTTTGCTACAAATAATGAGCAAATGTTAAAATGACCATCTAAATGAATCTTTGAAACAGCTTAAAGCAGTGGCCATATTGCTGAAATGGCTAAAAGTAAAAAAAAAAATATTGCTGAAATGGCTAAAAGTAAAAAACAAACAAACAAACAAACAAACAAAAACTTACCCAAAGGTAGTTCATAGCTGAAAGCAACAGACAAACTTTGACAAGTCAAAAGTACGACAAGTGACCAAACTAAGCTAAACACCACACACTAATCATACATATTAATTAATTCAATAATATTGCCTGGAAGCAAGCAATATTGGGCCAGCTGCAGGTTATTTGGAATGAAAACCTAATTAATAATGTTAAATAACATTCAGTTTAAAGGCATTTCTAATGGATGCATTAGTAACATGCCAAAAGGCTCCAGGAAGTCCAAGAAACCTGAAATTATCTATCCAGGTCAGTAAATCAACAAAAGGCTAGAAAGAACAAACAGGCCTCTCATACTCACCAACAAGGAGCTGGTCACTGGTTGAATCTTTTCTTTCTGGTTGTACTGGGCAGCTTCCAGTGTGAATGAAGCAGCAGCTCATGTTCTCACCACCAGAGAGAGCAGTTATCACTTGTCTGACAGCTTCACCGACTCTTATACAGCGTCCTCCGTCATCGGTAAGTCAGACCAATGACATAAGTAAAGACTCTCTCTTTCAGTCACTATTTGTTTCATACATGTGTGCTTTTTTAACTTTTCCCAGCTGTCCATATTTACTGTACATATATAATGTTTTCTTCACAAGACTATCCCCATTCAGCTCTGTATCACCTTCAGGTCTTGCATGCTGATAAGAAATACAGTTCTTAAAAAATTACAAATATTAGTATATTAATAGTCACAATATTATTATTATTATTTTTTTTAAAAGCACTGTTTTTTTGTTTTTTTTTTGTAAAATTAAGACTTTGCTCTGATAGTCTACCTTTTTTATTGCATTTATGGACTTTAAAATTCTGTTCACAAAATATTTCCATAGCTTTTTTTTTGCAAAGTTCTAACTTTATTTTTCCACAACTTGGTCTTCTATAATTTCCACTGTTTTTGAAAATTACCACTTTGTTTTTAACATGTTGTAGCTTGAATTTCTGAATTTTTGTTTGTTTGTTTGTTTGTTTAAACATTAAAATTTGAAAGATTTTCAAGCTATTAAGTCATAAATGATGTTAATGTTAATCTTAAAATACTAAATTTGTAGTAACACATTATGCCTTTTATGCCTTTGGCAGGATATAGTGTTTCTAAATTAAGACTTGCCTTTGCTCTTGTATTAAGTTAAAACACTACTCTAATAATAATCAATATCTTTTGTAAAATAATGACTGTTTGCTTGAAAGTAGCCATCTTAGTTCAAAAACATCATGTTTGCTAGCATTATTCTTGAACTATAGCAAAATCTGTTGTGAAATTTGATCACTGTTTTATTTTATCTCACCAGTTAAAGAAGTACTACTACTATTACTAGCTTTTTTCTTATTGTTGTTACTTTACTCTCAAAATATTACAGCTTGTAATGTCATTTTTTTTTCTAATAGAGTTTAAACCGTACATTCATTCCGCCATCTATTTCTTTAAGAAATCGACTTAATTTAGTAAGCTTTGTCTTTTTTACATTTTCAAAATAATTGAGGTTTTCTTCATAAATCCATCCATCCATTATCTATACACCGCTTAATCCTAGGGTTGCGGGGGGCTGGAGCCTATCCCAGCTGACTTAGGGCGAAGGCAGGAGACACCTTGGACAGGTCGCCAGTCTATCACAGGGCTACACTTCGAGACAGACAACCAAGCACACTCACATTCACACCTACGGACAATTCAGAATCACCAATTAACCTCAACATGTTTTTGGACCTTGTGGGAGGAAGCCGGAGAACCCGGAGAGACCCCACGCTGCACGGGGAGAACATGCAAACTCCACGCAGAAAGATTCCAGTGCCCCCACCCTGACGTGAACCGGTGACCTTCTTGCTGCGAGGCAACAGTTCTAACCAACTGCGCCACCCTGCAGCCCATTTTATTCATAAATGAACAAGTTTATTGTTCATTTTCATGTTTTTAATGTAAAATTACAACCTTTTACTGGGAACTTTAAATCTTTATTCTGAAAATATAATGTCTTCTATGGAAAAATGCTCTTGTAAAAAGTTATGAGATTATTCCCAGAAAGAAGAAAGTATGGCTTTATTTTCATTAACTATTATTTTCTCCGAATATTTCAACTTTATTCTCAAAAGATATTATTTGAAACCACGAGTCTCCCATGTAGTTTTACCTTTAACCTCACAGCAGACGGGAGGAAGACGACTGTCACTAAATAGATTCTATTATGATATATAAAATATTGAATAAGAAAACAGCATTTGAGGCTTACATCCCTGTTATAGGTTATTTTGTCAGATCCTTCAGTATTTTAGAGTGAATATTTCAGATACAGTCTGTGTGCATCCTACAGTAGGACATCTGCCAGTGGAACTGTTGTGAGGTTTCTGTGAAGTGACATGTAAAATCATCAAGATTTCTACTTATTTGGCATGTGGTGGTGAAGATATCTGCATATCTGTCACTGATCAAACATTTCAGACACGTTCCTTTGTCTGTCTGACGTGAAGCTGCATCACAAACATCCTGCTCTGAAGCTTGTTTTTTTTTTATTTTTTTTTTTTACTTTTAATAACTTTTGGTTTTACATCTTTTGAAACAACAACACCCTAAAACATTTTATTAAAAAATACTAACGTAAATTCCAACATTAGACATTTAATTTAAACCTTTCTGACTACAATCACATCTCGGTAAGAATAAAATTCCCCTCTCAGTAAAGCTGACTGACACTAAACATTTCAGTCACAGATCCTCAAAGTTAAACCTCGACACAAAACTAACCTGAACTCGTCACTGTCTGCTCACGTCAGCTCGTCTGCTGACACACTGAAACACTGCAGATGAAAATGAGCTCTGACTATGTCAACATGAATATTTACACATCAGAAACTGATTATTGATCGATCACCTCACAAACACTCTTCTCCTAAACAACAACTGCAGAGTGAATGCCTATTAAAGAAGGAAACATCAGTTTGTGTGAGCCGCCATCGCTCTGAACGAAACCACAAACACATCTGGAAACATCTCTGCTTCCTGGATCCTAAAAACCAGAGGGTTGAACTCCTGACGAGAACCAATCAGAAGAGTCTGTTTTAAAAATGTTTTTTCATTCCTCAGTTCTCAGAAGAACCAGAACTCTCGCAGTAACAAGCACAGTACCAACAGACCACAGTGACAGGGATAGTCAGGTCTGGGGTGGGGCTTCAGAGCGAGGTCTCCAGACTGTGCAGGGGGCTCCCTGGACAGGGTGGCAGCCCAGCTGAGTTGGACGGGATCAGAATGGACCTGGAGGTGTCCTTGTGCTGTGGAATGATGCGGTCCATGGCGTTGTTGTTCTGGTTCGGTGAGGACGGGAGAGGCGGCAGAGAGGACAGTCCAGTCAGTGGTGGCGGGATGATGACGGAATTTCGTTTGGTGGGGGGATCGTCCTCGCCTTCATTTTCATCAATCAGGGGGATTTGAGGTTCTGAGTCCTCAATGCGGAACTCAGGGTGGGTCATGAAGTTGTGGATGGAGCTGCGAGCCTCAGGTGTCTCCAGACCCTCATATGGGGACACACTGTCCCTGAAGGCGTTTACCACACGGATCTGAGAGTTGAGAGGAAGACAGTCAGGTCAGGGTTTAAATCAAAGAGGACAGTGTGTTGAAAGGTGTTGAAGGCAAATTCTCGTGTTTTTCTAATTACATCTTAATCCCAACTGTGTCCATTCAGACAGCAGAGGTCCCCTTCCACTCAAAATGTGTTTTGATCACAGTTACTTCTCTGGGATCTTTGACACTGAAAGTCTGTTTTCTAATTCTTCTGCTTAAAGTGGAAAGCTTCTTTCAGCTTACCTAACGTACATTTATTTATGACATTGTAGCTCGTGTGGAAGCTAGTCCCGATCAAACAGGCAACATACAAAAGTAATATGTGGAAACCTAAATCTCTGGATTTTTCAGTGAGAGAGGATCAGAACATAATATTTCAGGCAACTGAAATAATCACAAGGCTACTTTCCAATGCAGGAACTTGCAGGCTATTGTATGGTAACCTTCTGACAGCAACAACTACTGCTGTTGAGCCTGTTCCGGAAACATTAACTTCTAGGATAGGTCCTTCTGACCAGCCCTGATGTGTGGGTCTGATTATCGTCATTTGTCTGCCCTCTTGATGTCCTTGATGTGTCTTGCTATGAAAATAGCACCATGGTGGAATTTTCCTTTAAAAGTGAAAACATACCTGTGTCTGGATGCGGTTGAGGCCGCGACACCAGAGCACCTGTCCCCTCCTCAGCTCCATCTCAGCGTGGTCAATCTCATCCATGTCCTTCATCTCCTCCAGCTCCTCCTCAGGGATCTCCTCTCGCTGCGTGCCGTGACCCGCTGTTTTCAGGAACTTCAGCCAGTTAGTAGGAATGCTGGACACAAGCTGAGGGAGAACAAATATAATACCTTTTGTCAGTAGCTATGACGGGCTAAAATTACGAAAATCATGTTTTGGAATAGGGCTGCAAGGTATGTCAGTGGTTAGCATTGTTGCCTTGCAGCAAAAAGTTCACGTCCCAGTGAGGACACCCGGGATCTATCTGTATGGAATTTGCATGTTCTCCCTGTGCAGCGTGGGTTCTCTCCGGGTTCTCTGGCTTCCTCCCACAGTCCAAAAACATGTTGAGGTTAATTGGTGATTCTAAATTGTCCGTAGGTGTGAATGTGAGTGTGATTGGTTTCTGTCTCTAAGTGTGGCCCTGCGATGGACTGGCGACCTGTCCAGAGTGTCCCCTGTCCCCTAAGTCGGCTGGGATAGGCTTCAGCCCCCCCGCGACCCTAGTGAGGATTAAGCGGTGTATAGATAATGGATGGATGGATGGATGTTTTGGAATGCTTTTTATGTGTCGACAGATTTTTAGGACAAAACAAGCACTCAGTTATTTAGGGGGTATGAAAGGAAGAGATGTGGCAAGATGCCTTTCATTTCTCATCTACTATTAAAAAAGTTGATCTCTTCTCAAGAAAAGTCTCACCTGTCCCCACAGGAGACTGCCAATCCCCAGGAAGATACACCACAGCCACTGCTCAATGGTCAGGCTCACACAGCTGAATGGTTTCCCACCAAACTGAACAATCAAGATCTGCAGGAGGACAAAGCCACAACCTTATACTAAGATTCCTTCATCATTCAGCAGTGCCAGTCTAACAGCTTGTTTGCTGTAAAAAGGTTACCTGTATAATCAAGGTTCCCAGGATGATGGTGCAGAAGATGGGGTTGTTAAAGACACCCTCGAAGACGTTCCTCTCTCCGTGGATCTTTCGGGCATTGAACTCATTGAAGATCTGCATGAGGACAAACGTGTTGAACACGATGGTGTAGTGCTCCGAGGGCGGGGCATGGAGGGGGGCGTCCCTGCCATTGTCAATGTCGAAAATCTTTTCACCTGTGAGAGAGACAGATAAGGACAACCAAGCAGGTTATTGTTTGTTTGTTTGTTTGTTTTTCACACATTACTAATGATGGTACAGATGTAATTAGTAATGGGATTTACGCAGTTAAAGAAAGAATTCATTGAAGTATTAAATGATATGCAAAGAATTTTTCAGACAATCTTTTAGAGGCATTTGTTGCTAAATTCTTGCAGACAACCTAATAAAATCTTACTTTCAGCACTGAAATCCACTTTGGTGGGTTTGTATGTCTACACACACTTAAAAGATATTTGATTCCTATATAGATAAGCTTAAAGCTGAGCAAACACAGAAACAACATTATTACGTACAGGCACATAAGCGAAACAACAACCCAAAAATATGTGAAAGTGCAAGCAGTGCAGAGCTAATTTCAAAACTTTCCTGGTTTTGTCCAAGGCTCAATGAGTTGAGGCTCTGAACATATCTGTACAAGTTGTATCACAGCCTGAACTCCTCTATTACTCCTCCTATTACTGAAAAGCAGAACATTTTGGTTCATCTAATGTAAAAAATATTTGGCTGTATGGCTCTTAACTAAAAAAAAACACAGGAGTCTGTTTTGGCCCATAAAACTGTGGTGCTGACCTATGAAGAGCAGGAGGAAGATGGTAGTCAGCTGGTAGACACCGTGTCCCAGGATATTCTTCATCATGGTGCGGGAGATGAGCGGCTTCTTGCGGCCGTATGGGTTCCTGAGCAGCAATGCCTCAGTCGGCGGCTCGGTGGCAAGAGCCAGCGAAGCGAAGGTGTCCATGATGAGGTTGACCCATAGCATCTGCACAGCTTTCAGAGGGGAGTCCTTCAAACACATACACAAAACCCAACAGCAAGTGTCAACAGAGAAACCCAAGTTTATTATGTCATTAAGAACAGGAAGTAAGATGGAGTTCATACACTGAAAACAAGAAACAATCAAAGGACACCAGTAAACAAACATTTACAAACAGAATTCAAAGACCCGTTCTTGTGAAAATCAAGGTTTTCTCCTTTGTTTACATGCCCCCATGGTGTATTTTATATGCCATGAGACAAGACAACTCAAAACGACATTGTAGTGATGATCATTTTAAAAACACAGATTCAGACAGCCAGGTTTTCATATGTAGCAAAGCAAAGAAATCAGACCTGTCAGGGTGGAGATTTGTGTATCATTATACTTCCTAAGAATTGGTTTTTGGTTCAAAAATGTATGACTAAATTATTACAACGCTACAACTCATTGAGCAATTTTGTAGTGTTTAAGGAGAGTTGCAGGTGAACTGGTGAGCGTAAGTTTCAGTGAGCAGTGGGGAAATGAATGGAGAGAGATGCATGGACTTAACAAATCTTAACCGTCTTGAGGAAGCAACAGTGTAGAGTTACTCTAAGCCATTTTAAGGCAGAAAGAAATTATATTCATAGAATAAACTCCAAGGATGTAACTTTGTTACACAGAGATGCATTATTAGGGGTTTTATTAATGATCAGTGAGGGACTTTAAAATGTGAGGTTTGATAATATACACTGTAGAAAACATAAACTCAACATCTTCAGACAAAGAATTTATAGCTTGATTAATCTCTGGTAGCTTTTGGTTGTGATTATCCTCATAGGCTTGGGCATTTTATGTTGTCTGTCATGTTGTTTGTCTGCAGCCTAGTGTCATTGTTACCAAATGTGTACTGTACACCTCTTGAAAAAAGATTTCTAAAAAGAACAAGTATGATGAAGGTTGAGGGTCAAGTTTAGGGCAATTCTAGGACATCCATGACATGTGACTGACAAAATGTCTGAAGGCAGTAAGACTCTGAATCACCAAATTGCCTCCCAAACAGAGTCCAGCAGCTTTATTAGCAGCTAAACTGCTATTTTTGTAGGACTGTTTGGTGAATGAGAGGTTTTTTGCTTTCTGTAAATGTACTGTATAAAGCAGTCACCACACCAAATGGTAAATGGACTGCACTTATGTAGTGCTTTTCTATCTTAGCGGCACTCAAAGTGCTTTACTCTGTTTTCTCATTCTCACACACATTCATACACTAATGGCAACAGAGCTACCATGCAAGGCGCGAGCCTGCCACTGGGAGCAACTTCAGGTTCACTGTCTTGCCCAAGGACACTTCGACTGTGGAGGGGCCAGGGATCAAACCGCCAACCTTGTGATCAGAGGACAACCGCTCTACCACCTGAGCCACAGCTGCCCAAGGTTTTCTTATCAGTCAGTAAAGTGTTAATCAGTAGGACCCTGACTCGACTCTATCATTTCTCTACAACATCACATACTTATGTCTAAATAAGCAGCAATGTGTTTAACAAACTAGAGTTTAGCACTCCAAAAGTGAACTAACCTGCTTTCATAGAACTGTACTGGAGTGCTATCATCAGAATGGCCTCAGGTCATGAGTCAACAACCATGGCTGTCATTAATTGTGATTCAAATGTTGCTAAACTGTGTTTGGTGCATGGAAGTAAGACTGTCACAACAGACTGTTTGGGATAGGCAAGACACTCAAAACGTTCACTTTCGTTGTCTCCTGAAGGGACTGCTGCATCTATGCACGCCGCCATCACCGTGGCAACTGATTATACAAATTCTTATAAATATATAAATATATAAATTACATAAATTCTTGCAATCTGCAAAAAACCAGCGTCTTCAAAATAGCTGTGATTTTCTTTTGCTTGCTTTGTTAATTGTTCTCCGTGTTGGCCTAGTAGTGCTTATAGAAAAAAGCTCAAATTTATGATGGACATATGAACATTACCTTTCCTCTCCAGTCATTGATCACTTAAAACTCATCTGTGTTTTGAGGTTTTCCATGAAAATAATCCCTTCCTATGTCAAAAAGGCTTAGATGTAGCTGTCATTTTTGCCTCCATTAGAATGTTCAGATCTATGAAGTGCCTCGTTCTACATCCAACCCTTCACCGTTCACTGCAGCTAGAGCACACCAGCTCGCCCATGACTCTGCTTAGACATTCTAATACTACTCTATGTTACCCAATGGCAAGTGGTCCTGGAGTAATTTAATGATACATGTTAGAACTGGAAACTGATTCTGAATAGGAATAATGGCACAGAAGGCCCAGTCCTATCGGATGACAGGATAGTTTCTTTATGTTTATCACGTATTTGTATACTGCAGTTGTAGGGTGGAAATCCTCAACCAAGACACTAAGTGCTGAGTTTGCATATTATCTTCGAGCATATTCAAAAAAAATAAAAACATCATATGGACATGCTAATGAAATAACAAACTTGATTTTTACAGAAGGGGATCTGTAAAAAGGCAGAAAACCTGAATGCTGTTTGTCTAAATGATGCATGTCATGACAAATTTCTAAACCAGCAACTAGTCGGTGTTCTGATTGTAGTTGTGGAAACATCTCACAACACATTTGACCTTCAAGATGAATTGACTTCAGGTGGTTCTGACCTGAGTAATGCAGGCTCCAGTGAAGGCCACAATGACAGCAACTATATTAACGGTGAGCTGGAACTGCAGGAACTTGGAGATGCTGTCGTAGACATTCCTGCCCCACATAACGGCTTTAACAATGCTGCTGAAGTTGTCGTCTGTCAGGATGATGTCAGACGCCTCCTTCGCGACATCCGTCCCTGCGATGCCCTGCAAATCACAACATGTACACTAACTGTCACAAACCTGACATTACCCTCAATGTTTTATAAACTCTCTAAGAAAGTGGCTTCACTGCTACAAATACAACTAGATGCTTTTAAATGACATTGGTGACAATCGTTACCATGGCAAAGCCAACATCCGCTTTCTTGAGGGCAGGACCGTCGTTTGTGCCATCTCCAGTTACTGCGACAACTTGGCTCTGCTCTAGTACTGTGCTGTCAATGATACCTAGGAAGATAGACACACAGCTGAGAAACATGTAGGGACCAAATTAGGGTCTAAGGTGTGCTGTAATTAGGACTGCCTTTAAAATCCACTAAAAATGTTAATTTTATATCAGGTTGCCTTAAAATTCTGATTGTTTTCTTATGATTTCATTGTTGATATTTATCCAATGCACAGTGAGACTATGTTGTCTATAAATAAATCTCCCTTGTCTCACTCCCCTCTATCTAAGCCATATATGAATCTAACTGTATGCAGCCTCTGGAACCTGATTTAAGTTGGTCTGACCTTTGACCAAAGTGTGTTTGTCTGTTGGAGATGATCTGGCGAGGACTCTCAGCTTGGGCCAAATCTTATCAATACGCTCCTGCTCAATCTGCAGACAAACAGAGAAGAGTGTGTGAAAGAACAGTTTAGTTGCAAAACACCATTTTAAATCAGTTTATCACAGTGATGCAAAAACCTGGCAGTCCATGCAGTGTTGGCTATGTGCCACAAAAACTTGATCTTACATGAACCAGTCATACAGCCACCCCCTCACCTTTCCACGACCACCCTCACTGTGATGGTTGAGCATCACTGTGCAGAATGTAGTACAGGAATATATTCATTTGTTTTTAAGTTCATCTGCTAAAAACCTGTGAAAAATTAGTTTCTCTGTTTCTATAGGCCACTGTCCACTGCAGAAACTCAGATCAAGCATGAGGTGATGTGAGCATTTACAGGAACATAGCCATAACTGGCTCTTCCTGCCATTCTGTTTCCACAGCAGTGTAAGATCTACTGGACTCAACAGGTGGCAATTTTGCAACAGTTTCGACCGCCAATGCCAATTTTGATCACGCCAAAGCAACAACAGTACTAGAGGAACCTGAGATAGTTGCTGCATTGTTGTTTGTTGTGTTAACCTATATGCATAATTTTAGATTGTTGGTGGTGATGTTGGAGAGAAGAAGACTGCTATTCAAAGAAGACATCAAGAGGTTAGACAAATGGTTCTTTCTGTTGTTGCCTTCTTCAAGTTTAATCAGTCAGTGTTGAGACCAACACAGCAGTTTTTCAGGGCCATTCAGACTGACCCAGAGTAACTACTCTTTTCTCCCCTGGACAGAAAAGGAGAGGAAAGAGGTTCTACAGAGGAGGTTCCTACAGTCAGCACATGCGCAAGGCTGTACTAAAACAGCTTGTGAGTTTTTGCAGTGGGGAAAGACCTCATGTTGGTCTGACCTCGCCCAGCTCGTTGCGGATCCTTCGGTTGAACTCTTTGCCTTCCATACAAATGAAGTCGTCTCCAGGATGCAGGATGCCACACTTGGTGGCGATGGCCCGGGCTGTGTTGATGTTGTCTCCAGTCACCATGCGGACAGTGATGCCTGCACGCTGGCACTTTCTGATGGCATCTGGTACCTGATGGGAGCAAGAGAGGAAATCAAGCAGAGAGTGATACTGAGGTTTACGGTATACTCTGGATAGATGTCAGAACACTGAAGAAATAAAGATCAAATGACAAGAGATGGAAAAGAACGGTGATAATTGTCTGATGATAGCTTCAAACACTTACTGTAGCAGTTTCTGAGCAAAGAAGTGGTGATGACAAAATGTTAGTTCTATGGATCTACAGTGACCCAGTCCTTCAGACAACTGCCCATAGATTGATACATGCAAAACAAGCAACAGCTTCCATCCCATAATGCTGTTTGCAATTTAGTCCTGGTGTTTACATTGGCACTGTGACTGGTTGATTGCCTTCATGTGTCCCTGTGTATAGGTGGGGTGTCATACCTCAGGTCTTACTGGGTCCTCAATGCCAACCACAGAAATGCATGTGAGGCCAGTGAGGATGTGTGCCTCATTGTCCCAGTCAGGCTCTCCTTCAATGGCAGGAAAGTCTTTGTAGGCCAGGCAGATGGTCCTTAGACCCTCTGATGCCATTGATTCAACCACCCTCTTCACCAGGTCATCTCGGTCTCGAGATTTGAAGACTTTGGCTTCGCCAGTGGACATCAAGATCTTACAGCACCTGGAACCACAAGACAGAATCATGTGATCATCATGTGACTGAGCATGAAGCTGTGTGAGCAGAAGCACTAAACCTACTTCTTGAGCAGGATCTCAGAGGCCCCCTTGCTGAACATTCGGTAGCTGCCGTCATGGTTCTTTAGCACAGTGCTCATGGACTTCCTCACAGAGTTGAAGGTGTAGACCTTGAACAGTTTCTCCTCTGGGATTTCGTTGCGGATGTTCTGGTAGTCTCGGTGCAGGTCAAGGGTGAGTCCCAGTAAGGCACATTCAGTCTTGTTTCCCACCTGGCGAGGCAGCCCGCCTTCCCTCTCTGGAGGCTGCAGGAAGCAGCAGCAGAAAGGAAGTTAAATCACAGCACTTCCAGCTTTAACAACAGATCAGCTTCTTTACCTGATGCAGGAATGAAATTCACAACTGCACAAGCATATAAAAATAATGTCAATCCAGCAGCATTGAGACAAGGGGCAGTGTTTAGGGTTAAATGAGAGAGGTGGATGAACAAACTCTATTTACATAAGAATCAGAATTCTGATCTTCTACAATCTGGATAATCTAAAAGCGTTTGGAGGTGTTTTGCATTTAATGATTTGCAATATGAGGGTAATCTAATTTAGGATTTTTTTGAAAGACTAATAATAGAGACGCAACAAATTATTAAACCACTATTATTGAATCGTTTTAAGGTTATTTATAGTTTTAGATGATATTTCAGAGTTGTTCTGCCCTCTACAACCTCTAAGCAGACTTAGATCAGACCCTGCAATCTGTATCTGTAACCCAGTCTGTTAAATCATCACCTACTTTTAAATTACTTCTTAAAACAAATAATTATTCACATCTTTGGTGAGGATCTGCAACTTTTACCCTGTATAACAGTACATTTAATACTTTAGGGATAGGGACTCAGACATTATAAGATGTTTGCTGATGCTGGCTTTGGCTTTTGGAAATTGCTGTATATATATATTTTTTTTACTATCGTTTGACATTTTATTGTCCATTGATTTCTCATTTTTTCAGCTGGTGATCTTTTATAGTAGGAGAATGATCACCAGCAACCTGCAATCACAGGATGTCTGAGTTATGAAAACTTAAACCAAAGATGGACATTCACTGTAAAATTTCAGTTTTAGTAGTGCTTAAGATATATAACCTCATCATCATTTCTCAAAAAAAATGCAGGCCTGACAATTTTGTGTGGCAGTAAGGTTTAATCTATAATGTAAGGGGCCCTCAGATCTTAAATATTATGTGATCCCTTGGGGGTTCCAAAACTTAGGTTATACTAAACAACTGATGATTTCATCCAGTAATTATTATATTGTGACAGTCCTAGCAGACGACTGACAGAAAGGAAGCTGATGAAAAATGCTTGTTGGTGCTTATTAAGTCTTCTAGCTGAACCTGTTTGTCTCCTGTGTGCTCTGGTCTGTGCAGTTGACCCAGGAGGCAGTGATCAGATGAGTCCTGAGCTGTTGTGGCAGCTCTCCAAACTCCATCCGCCCTCTCAGCCAAGTGCTTGACTCGCAGAGCTTCCTGAATGAATGGTTATTTTTATGGCTCACCATAATCTTGGTGGTGTAGGCGCAGTTGACCCCAATGCCAAGGGTGAGCAGGTCCAGGACTTTGACCGGGACAAGGTCCGGCTCTGGAATCTTTTTGTAGTGGTGTCCGGCGATATAGGCCTGCACCACCGTCATGCGGTTCATAGTCAGAGTGCCTGTCTTATCAGAACAGATGGCTGTGGCATTGCCCATCGTCTCACAGGCATCCAGGTGGCGAACCAGATTGTTGTCCTTCATCATTTTCTGACAAAAGAGGAAACAGCGGAACCAGAGACTGAATTTACTGAAGACATTTAGAGGAGGAGCAATGATTGATCCGAACTCTTCGACTAGAGCTTTTACAGTTGAGGTCATTGCTCCAACAAAACACAACACTAAACATAAGAACAGGTATAACAGTTACTCAGCATTTGGTGGTCAGTTCAGTGTTCAGGTTACCAGACTGTGTACAAACAGACCTTGACTGAATAGGCCAGGGAGATGGTGACAGCCAGGGGGAGACCTTCAGGCACAGCCACCACCAGCACCGTCACACCGATGATGAAGAACTTGACCATGAACTGAATGTAAATGGGCACACATTCAGCGGTCCAGACAACCCCCTGAATCCAGAAGGTATCGATCAGGAAGCGAGTGATGAGGATGATGACAGTGATAGTAGACATGAACAGACCTAAAGATACAGACAGAAAGACCAACAGAGACAGAGTTTAGTTCAGCTGTGAACATAAATTGTGAACACAACATATGTAGCAAACAGCAAGGAGGAGTAAGAAGATGTTTTGGGCTTGTATCTATGTACAGTTTCAGAGTTTCCCCAAGGAATTGATTTTACAGGTAACTTAAACTGTTCCTACTACCTAAGGGTAAGTAGGAGCGCAATCCCTGAGAGAGCAAGATAATCCTGCTTCACCACACACTCAGGCACTGAGCAGAAATGATCTTGATGTAGTTTTCCGCCTGTTGTGATTTGCATCGAATGATGTTAACAATACATGAAAAAACTTTCATGTGTTTAGGTGAAGAATATACAGCTATGAAACATTTCTAAGCCATTTCTTTTTAAAGTTATTTTTTTGGCCTTTGTGCCTTTATTTTGATAGGACAGTGGAAGAGAGACAGGAAAGTGGGGAGAAGAGTAGGGGGAGGACATGTGCGGGAAAGGGTCATGAGCGGGACTCGAACCCATGACCTCCGCATCGGGACTGTAGCCCTGTACATGGGACGCCAGCTCTACCAGGTGAGCTATAGCGGCGCCCCTCTAAGCCATTTCTACACAGACATGAGTCTAGTGCATCTCAAATATGTTTTTGTAAGTCAGATGTGTCAAGATGATGTAGGCTGTAGTACCTTTGTGAAGAAAATGTGAAGAAAATCAATTATTTTGTAAAGTCACCAAGTCTTTAATAAAAATCTATCTTTTAACTATGATAGCCTCCCCTTTGGCAAAGTGATACATGTGGGTAAACTAGTCAATGCATTTGTAACTTCTAGGTTGGACTGTTGTAACCCCTTACTAGTAGGATGTCCCAATAACTTTCTAAAAAAAAAAACCCTCTAGTTCATCCAAAAGTGGGCAGGATTACTTTTCTCCAACATTAGCTTCTCTTCATTGGCTCTCTGTAAAATCCAGAATAAAATTTATTACGTTTCTCCTCAAACGCAAAGCACTTAATGACCAAGCTCCATCATATCTCAAAGAACTTCTCGTACCATATTATCCCAACAAAACACTTCACTCTCAGCCTGCAGATTTACTTCTGGTTCCTTGAGATTCCAAAAGCAGAATGGGAGGCAGAGCCTTCTGCTATCAGTCTCATCTGCTTCAGGGTTCAGGAGGCATATGCCATCTCTAAGAAAAGGCTTTAAACTCTCTTTTGCTTATAGTTAGTATTCTGCTAGAGGTGATTCAAAAGATAAAAGGCTGATTAATTGTTGCTGGAAGTTTTGTCTGAGATAAAGTAAGTGCTGTTACAAAACTGCATTTTCTGCTACGAACCAAAAGTCTGCAAGAACTTTGGTATAAGTGTTGAAGTGTCTCTAACAAGATTGATCAAAACAGTTTCATGTATAAGCAGATCAATGAATGTCTCTTCTTCACAGAATGTCAGCTACAACATGGTACAGCACCTCCAGAACTCTCCTAAATATAATATGATAATTATGATAGTAATATGTATGACTGAAAGTAGAACCAAATATTGATTACACTAGACTTTTTAGGACTGATTTCTGACTTGCAATAACAAAACATTAGGAGACAGAACACAAGAAAGTACTGAATAATTTGAAAATCCCCATGTCCAGGTATAGATACTTTACCTTTACAATAAAAGTCTATTATGAAAGAGCACAGTACCATGTATCCTTAACCCAGCAGGGAGCTGGTGTTCAGCATTCAGATGACGTCTGCGTCACTTTGACATTCACACTCTGCTCATCCATTTACAGATTGTCTGTTTGTACCTGCTTTGCCGATCTGCACAGCCAGTTTTGTCAGCTTGCCCTGCAGGACGGATTTCTCCTTCTTCGGTAGGTTTTTCTTCTTCTTGTCTGGGTCTCCATCGTCATTAAGTGGCTGCATCTCCACAGTGACTCCATCCTTGTTTTTTCCTACAGAGGACAAAAGAAGTGAAACATTCAGGTGTTTGAAGACAAATTATCAAAGCTGCTGCTGCTGTCAGTGCAACACTGTTTTATGATCTCAACACATCCTCTAACAAAGGTCAGGGCTTAAACAATTGGTTTTAAACAAAAAGAAAAAGAAGACAAAACAATATTTTTTACTCTCTGTCACTGAAATCAACACCCCCTGCAGATGCTTTGCTTTAAAACTTTCCTAAACTAAATGTGAAACATCAGAAAAAGTTGGCTTTCACTGATAAACCCAAACTGCAATCAAAAAGTCTGTGAAGCAGAAATTAAATGAATTATTCTGTGAGTGAAAACATTATTAGTGCAAGTAAGAGGAAAGGTTTTAAGGATTGTAAAGACATGTTTTGCTAATAGAATAAGTGCTGTGGAAATGTTTGTTACAAGGTCATTACAATGGCAGGTAAAATAGAATTTGCATCAATAGCAAAAATTAAAACAGGACTAGACCAGAAAACAACAGGAGCCATAGTAAAATATATTTTAAAATGCTTGTAAAATAGGAAGAATTCAAAATATAGTTCTGTGTCAGTATGTCATACGGTACGCAATAATGGAAGGACATGCCAAGAACTAGAAATAAGCAAGAGCATGATTGCTAGTCATTAAATCTAAGTGTTAACTGAGTGAGCAGTTAGTCAGGGTGTGACACAACAAGCAGAGAAGGGCAGGTCCATGATGCTGTGTGTCATCAGTGTGGTGGTCGAGTCCCAGTGTGAGTCTATTGTGCTGCTTTGGGTCATCAGTGAGTCAGAACAGACCTCCAAACCAACTCATTAACTGACAAACCGACTAACGAACTGACCAGACTACACAGTAACAATAAACAATACAGCAAACAGGTTCAGTGGACACTGCTCTGTGACAGAGAGAGGGAGTACTTGCAGGTGTGTGTTTGTGTGTGTGTGTGTGTGTGTGTGTGTGTGTGTGTGTGTGTGTGTGTGTGTGTGTGCTGATCCCATCTCAGTAATGAGGTTATTAGTGGACAGGCAGGCAGCAGGCAGGAGAAGAAAGCAGCTGCTGAGCTTAAGGCCGATAATCTGCTTGGTCCTAATCACCATCAACAGAGTCAGAAGCACCTGTTTGTGGTGCTCAGACCACAGGGACACACACTACAGCATGCGGGTATGCAGGGGCCACAAGGAGCCAGGGGGACCCTCCAGTGACCAGGAAAAACATGAGGAGACCCAGGGGGAACCAGGAGCCTTATCAGAACCAGCTCATGTAAACCAACTACTGACAACAGGATTGTTTGACTGCTTGATTGCATCACATGATGTCCAGCTCATGTTGACTTACAAGACAGCAACAGCAAAGATGACAGTGTTGCACAAACACTGCATATGATCCACTTTACAGAGATGTCCTGATATGAAGAATATACAACACTTGTTCTAGCTCACCTAAACCAGAGTCTTCTCATCAAACTGTCAACTGAAGATACAGTCCAACTTTCTGACTTATTAGGATTCTTTGATTGAATGTTTGATAATATTACATTTAAGATGGATATGAGTGATTTTTTGCTTAATTATTATTACATTTAAAAGTCAGGGTTTTTTTTTTTTGGTGCTTAGCTCCAATTTGCTAATATTTCTCATCTATCTGTCTGTTTGAACTTTTTCTTAACTTCTCAAGTTAAACTCTGCAGTCCAAACACCCAAAAAGGACTGAACACACACTGTTCACTGAGGGGTGTCTCCAGAAATGTTTCATAGGGTTAGCAATATGGGAAGGAACACAGACTTGTTCCAGCTAAATTTTACCCAGCTGTGATGGCATTCACGACAATGTGAAGGTAAAAAATCAGTCAAAGAAAGACAGAAACTGCTGTGGCTCAGCGGTTAGAGTGGGTTGCCCACTATTTAAAGGTTAGTGGTTCGATCCCTGCCCCTTCTAGCTGTAATGGACTATATAACACCCACCTTTCACATAAAGCAACAATGCCCTTATTTAGGCACAACATTAATACCATTTAAACAGATTAATTTTATAAAAGATGCCCCTCGTACAGTTGTAATGAATGTGGACATTAGCTACGGAGACCAAAACAGTTTATTGTACCAGGCTATAAACATGTTTATTGCCGCCATAAAGCTGGACATTCTAACATGGGCATCTGTGTGGACTGACTGTCACCCCAGAAGTTGCTACTTGGTCACCACTGATTGATGAGAAATGCATGTTGGGATACCTGACTACCTAAAGTCTACACATTAGTAGGCGCCACATCATCTTGTCGACTATAAACTGGGATGGTACTGAGGCTGTGACTGATAATTTTTCACAGGAACAGAAAGGCCTCACATCTCAGACCTCCACAAGCTCCACTGACATCACACATGTGGAACCCAAAATGCTTGGTTCAGTCAAAGACAGCATTTTTATAAACTCTCACTATGCTCAGGAAAAGAACTCCTTTAGGTGACAATGCATCCGTTTAGAGCATGCGACAATATCTGGCCAAAGATGGTTACTACACTGCTCCTCTGGTTCCATTCCATTAAAGTTTGCTCCACATGCTGACAAAATGACACACAGGCAAACACATGACCAAGATCACTGCTAACTTAACGAGGGAATAATCTACAGCTCTACAGTCCATAGAGACCAGTGCAGCTGTGAATGAAACAGCCAACCTCTGGTCATTGATGAACTGAACAACTGAAGCTGCTGCTGTTCGATACAACCTTCACATCCACTCAGTCACACACTCACACCGATGAGCAGTGACGTGCTGATTACCTTTCTTGCTTTTGTCTTCTTTTTTACCTGTAAGGGTGAAAAATGCTGGTCAGTCACTCATACATGTAGAATGAACCATCAATAAAGCACTTAAAGAGCCTAAATGCAGAAATATGTAGTAATGGTGCCAGTTCAGCATTCTGATCCAGGAGAATGAAGTGACTATTGGATGGGTGGCATGGAGTTCAGTGGGTGTCAGTTTGTGTTTGTTTGCTTGAAGTTGTGCTATCATGATGTCCCAAGAATAAACCTACATGTTACTACCAGTACAGCAGCAGAGAGTCATATTCTCAGCTTCTTTTGTCCATATGTCAGAGTGGTCCTGGTGATTAGGTCCCTGCCTTGCATGGCAGCTCGCTATAGATGGGTTTCTTATTTGCAAATATTACTGGGGCTATGCCTACAGTGATTTACTGAAAATAAATGAATTAATGACACATTGTGTCACATCAATGCGATTAACAGTCTCAGCTGAGTAATCCCTGTAACAATGGTTTAGTTCCAATCAGATTTCTGAATGAAATTGCTCCACTACGTTTGCTATCCGAAGAAATGTTTAGCTAAATGTGCTAGCAACATAATAAAAACCTTATGGTATTGATTGTCTTATAGCAGGAGCTGGTGCTGATGGTGTCACTAAGCTAACTGAATCAAAATAAAAATGTTCACAACTAGGATACTTTACAACCTGCCACATTTAAGAGAAGTTTAACAGCAACCATAAACACATTGTACCAGACATGATACATCAATAAATTAATTGTCATTGTGAGAAATGACCAGATCTTCAGAACAATCCAGACAATAGATTTTAGGTATATCCAAGTGGTCAGCATTCATTTGGCTCAATCGATAGTCCTGTCTCACAGATAAACCCAGTGTTCAGACATACACTTACATACTTTGTATAATGATCTTTTTCTGTTCTTAGCAAAAGAATTTTGAAGATTTTCCAGCAAAGTCCCTATCATCTCTGCTTCGGAGCTTAGACGATGAGAATGCACAAAATAGAATTTTTAACGATAATCAATCTGCTGATATTTCCAAACTTATTTCTTTCCAATTGCTGATAAATGTATTCACATGTTTTTGCCTGACAGGTGTTATGTACCTGGCACTGTTCATTTTGGAGGAATATTTAATTTTGTTGTCTTTTTTAGCCAATACCAATGCTGATATCATTCATGTAGTTTCTGTGCGTCTCTGTAATGATTTTGCACAGAAAGCTGCCTTTTGGTATGAATGCACATATGAAAAAGGATCCGAAGGTGCTTTGGTTAAAAGCACTACTTTAGTCAGTTTGTTAAAATAGCAGTGTATTTGCTCTGTGACATGCCTGAGTGTCACACATCGGCATCAGTGTGGCTGTTTCCCACCAAATCTGATGTAACTTACTTTTTTTCTCCTTCCTCTCTTTGTTTTTCCGCTCCTCTTTCTTCTTGTCTTTTTTGTCTTCACCATCGCCGTCGCCTTCTTCGCCAGCACCGAGCAGCGTGAAAATGATTCCAGTCTGAGAGTTCACACCTACAGCAGTGACCAACATCTTGCCAGAACCCTCCATCACATGGGTACCTGAGAGGGAGACAGGAAGGAGGACTTTTACCATTTTACCCACCGCCCCCCAAAAATATGCATGCATTCTGTGCTCACATGAGTTGACCTTTTGTCTTGTTTAAGAGAAACACTGAGGACTACGTTGTGACCTAATCAAATTAGTGATCTCACTTTAATATCTTAAGCTCTTGGCAAGGTTGATGTGGCAACCTGGATACCGACTCTTGGGCTGTGTGCACCATTATTTTGCACATCTTCATGCACTTTGAATGTTTTTCAGTGTACTCTCCATCACAACAATCAAGTAAATTGTCTGATTGCCGATAGTGTTTGGATGGAGGAAGAAAAGATTTTATTGTGTTTTTGGTACCACAAAGCACAGACCAACAAGTTGCCAGTGCAGTAGCTGATGACTGTGATGTTTAAAATTTTTATAGGTACACACAGGACGAATGCAGATATGTATGTGTAACTGTGAAGTCCAGAGCAAGAACCATACAAGTGTTAAAGCTCTGTTTTAATTAGATGCCTCTTGGATGCTTTTTTATATATTTGTTTACTATTACTGTACTGACTCTCTCTGAAATTACACTGATGTTGGATTTTAACTTAGTCAACATAAAAACACTGTAATTTCTTCAGTATTTTAATTGTTTCAAGGCTGTAAGAGGAGGTTTCATGCTCAGTCTTTACATCTGTAAACCATAAAGATGGTCTGATTTAACAATGGAAACTCAGCAGCGGAAACACTGAACTTGGCTGTAATTAGATGTGGATGGAGCAGAGCAGAGAGATCCACCTGACAACAACATGGGGTCTTTGTCGAGAGTCTTCTTGACATGATCCGACTCTCCGGTCAGAGAGCTCTCATCAATCTTTAGGTCGTTGCCCTGGATCAGGACACCGTCGGCAGGGAGGAGGTCACCTGGAACATCAACACACTCATTAAGTTACATCATCATTATGTCACCTGTCTCTGACACAAGGAGGAGAAAGAAAATTAACTGATGCAGCGACAGAGAGATATTGCCTCTATACAATAAGAAAAACTAATAATTCTGTTGTGTTTTTTCACCTTGAACTGCAAGGTACTGATCATCAAACAAACAACACCACAATCTTAAAAGATGCTATAGGAATTTTATGTATTTCTATCCTTATCTATATTTTCAGATACTTTCAGATTAGTTAGTGCTAAAGGTATTCATACACTTATAAAAGCCAAACTGGCAACCAAATCCCTAGCAAGTAGTAGTGACTAAGAAATTAGACACATACAATTTCACACACAACCTTAGTGATAGATTTACAAACAGGTAGTGCAGCCCAGTCCTGATTTCTGTGCGGTATTTTTTCTACCACTCTGACATGAGCAATTCAATTCAATTCAATTCAATTCAATTCAATTCAGTTCAAATAGCTTTATTTAACCCCTAGGGGCAATTCGAAAGCTCAGTGAATATTTAATATAAAAACATCCAAAAAATAAACACAATAGAAAGTAAAACACAAATTGAACAAATAGATTCATAAAATTAACCAGGACAAATTTTGGAGAGTCAGAACTTTAGTACTGGCATATAAAAACAACCTTCTTTTTCTTTTGATGAATCAATTTGAACATGGTTTTCTACAAACCCTGTTTTTTTTCCTGAAACATGTAATCATGATTTAAATGAGGAATTCACTAATCTTAGAAGAACTCAACAGGATTTTGCATCTGTAACGTCAATTATTAAATTAAAGTTTTTGGTCCTCATGCAGTATCAACAGAGTACTGAGCCTTGATTTCCAGGTCTAATCATTACATTGAGTAAACTTTTAAACGTGAGCCTAACTTTGAACCAGTAGAAAGGCCTGCTATAGAACACTTTGTGTTCTCTCACCATATTTGACTTGTGCGATGTCTCCTACTACGATCTCGGACACTTTGATCTGGATCACCTGCCCCCCTCGGACCACGGTGAACTTCTGCTCCTGCTCGATGCGACTCTGGAGGCCACGGAACTGCTTCTCTTTGCTCCAGTCATTGAAGGCCGTCACCAGCACCACACACACCACAGACAGGAGGATGGCAGCGCCTTCGATCCAGCCGGCCTCCGCCTCACCCTCATCCTCTACACCACCAGCTGCTTCACCACAGTCTGAACGGAGACAACGCAGGCTGGAGTTTTAATTTCCTGAACCTGTGTCTGGGTTACTTACATGTTTCCTGTAACTGTCCACACTCTGCGCAACCTGATATAAAGTGGCCTCTGACTTTGCTGTACAGGGGGATCACTTTGGAAGGACTTGACATACTGCTGCTGTCACACAAAAGCCTCTGATTTTATAGATTGTTTCTTTAAACTGAGTGATGACCCAAGTCATATACCTCCTGCTAGGTCAGAGGTCAGCTAGGAAAATGTACTCCATGTTTTTCTTTATTGTAACGACCCCGACTGGTGAAAATCAAGCTTTTTATCTTGAGTTGTGTGACAATGTTATTCGCTTCAAAACCTCATAGGTTAAGTGAACTGTTTTTCAAACTTTGGCATCCACTCCCACAACTTGCACTTGGTCTTCTATCAAGAGTCAACACTGTTTTCATGTAAAGACTTTCTCCAATTAAAGTCAAGTTGTTGTTTTCTTCATCTTTATATGGAGTCTTTTTATATGCTACAAGACACATCTTGAGTAAAATAGGCCGTCAAATTCATGGCTGAGCTTTCATACCTTGAACCTGCAGTGTACTGATGACAGTATAACAAAAAACAAGAACTCAGCATTTCAAGGTTTCATATGTAACACACCAAAGGAACCAATCCTATATGGTTGAATTACTCCAACATCACAACTTGCCATTGTGTTGTGTATAGCAGTTTGACAGTGCAAAGTTGTAGCTGAGCTGGTGTTCTTAACTACGCACACCAACACACAGTAAGAAAGCAATGGTATAGTGTTGTATCTTGCCAATTTCAGACAGAGAGGGATTGTTTTTTATGTGTGACTTTAATACACAGAGATTAGTTTTTTAGGGGTTTAATCATCGGCTAGAAAGAAACTTTAACAAACTGGTTTGCTGACATTAAAAATGTAATTTGTAAAGAGGTTCTAGACAAGACTGAACTGTCTTATAAAACTAAGATGTTACAACAAATGTTGAGCAGTATGTGTAACATCAAAAAGAACGTCCTAGGTTTTTATTTTAAAAGATCCCTAAAGTGGACTGTACATATAGTTCAGAGTGAACATGTAGATTAAGGTGAAATCATTTAGGTCAGGTTAATTTTTATTTTATATAATAACACAACATAATAATATAACAAACTCTTAATATTTAAATTACTCAGGTAAACTTAGGCGAAATATAATGTTGTAGATAAAGAGATTGATAAAATGTGTTTATGCTGAATTAAACTTTCAGTCATATATGGAAACTAATTCTCATACCAACATTTACATGTCATATACCTAACTCACTATAAGAGAGTTTTGGAGAAACTGAAAATGTTGTCTCCCTGCAAATTCAAGTCAAACTTAGCTTTTATTTGGTATTAATGTTAAATATTTATTTTGGTGTAGTTTTGTGTTTTATCATGTGTGCAGACTGGATTCACTGCTTACAGCAACAACCCAAAACTCCTGGAGCAGTAATGGAACTGTGCTGGGCTTTGGTGTAATTATCCAACCTGCTTCACTACAACTTCATTATGTTCATCACGTGATGCAAACAAAACACTTTTCCCTTTCACAATAACTGGAAGAGGATTGTCTGTATAAAAGTGAATACATTAGCATCATGTACCCTGTGAAACATTTTTTTTATTGTCAGAATTGGGTACATTTGGTCCAAATTTTGAAAGTGAAAACTTATTTTGACCAAAAAAAAAAAGACAATCAATTAAGAATAAAAAAAGATACAATAGTTGATAGCATGGGTATTCATCGCCTTCAACCCAATGCTTAGTAGATGCACCTTTGGCCACAATTACAGCAGTGAGTCTGTTTGGATAGTTCTCAATCAGTTTTGCACATCTGGACAAATACATTTGATCCCATTCTTCCTTGCAAAACTGTCAGGTTGCATGGGGATCATGAGTGACCAACCCTTCTCAGTCTAGCCGCAAATTCTCAGTTGGATTGAGGTCTGGGTTCTGACTTTGCCACTCCAGAACATTCATCTTGTTGTCTTTAAATCATTTTTGTGTAGCTTTGGCTGTTTGCTTTAGATCATTGTCTTGTTGGAAAACAAATCTTCTCATGATTTGTAGTTCTCTTGCAGATTGCATCAGCTTGTCCTCTAGAATTACCCTGCACTTTGCTGCATTTATTTTACCCACTACCTTTGAAAGCCTTCCAAGGCATGCAGCCGCTGAAGCTTGCAGCTCATACAGAGGAGTCATAGGTGTCTTGGTGGGCTCCCTCACTAGTCTCTTTCTTGCATATTCACTCAGTTTTTGAGAATGGCCTGTTCTCGGCAGACTTGCACATGTACCAAATGATTTCTTAATGATGGGTTTTACTGTACTTCAAGTGATATTCAGTGACTTGGACATGCTCTTGTATCATCCCCTGACTTTTCAAAAACCTTTTCACAGAGTTGCTTGGAGTGTTCTCTTGTCTTTAAGGGGTAGTTATACTCAGGAGTACTGATTCACCAGTGACTGGACCTTCCAGATAGAGGTGTCCTTATATACATTTACTCCACTCAGATGATCTTTGTTTCACTAATAATGTGATTCCGAGTGACCAGTGATCGGTTGGCTGCACCTATGTTGAATTAGGTAAGTCACATTAAATATTGTAAATACTAATGCAACCACTTTTGCATTTTATATTTTTTTAAATTTTTTCCCTCATTTTGTAGAAAGCTGCTTTTACTTTGATATGATAGAGTATTTTCTTTCTTTCTTTCTTTCTTTCTTTCTTTCTTTCTTTCTTTCTTTCTTTCTTTCTTTCTTTCTTTCTTTCTTTCTTTTTTTAAAAAAATCTTAAGTCTAATTAAATTAACTGGTTCAGCTACACTGACATCTACCAATGCAGAGGCTGTGTATACGTGAAAATGTCTCAGTTCTAGCCAAGAAAATCAGGAATGATACTTTTTAAAAGTTGTAGCTATATTTAGCTCATCTCGTTCACCTCTCTCCTCTACTACTGTCTCTGTAGTATGTCCCTATTAATTAGCTCATCAGTGAGGTGCCAGGTTCATAATAAAAGTCATACACTTTTTTTCCACACATGTAAAGGTTTTACACAGTATGCATTTATAATAATAATGATAATAAAACAAACTCACGCTGTCTCTCAGCATCTGGTGGACTGTAGAAAGAAAGGCCTAGTGAAATGATGGCTGCCACCTCCAGGATGATGAGCGTCACATCCTGCAGGGCTTCCCACACTAACTGCACAAAGGTTTTAGGCTTTTTAGGAGGGATGACGTTCTGTCCAAACTCCTGTATCCTTCTGTTGATGTCCTCCGATTTTCCATCTAAACCTGCAAAAGGAAACACAAAGACAGCATCACTCCATGTGTCCTCCTAGAAGGCTGGATTGCACCATTAAACTGAGTTTATGTTAATAGAACATGTCTTTGCTCAAACTCAGATTTGTTTCAACATTCATGTAGACTGTCATTCAGTGTAGAAATGCTATTTTGAAGAATTCTTTAATTAACAACACTTAAACTGAAACATGTTTATGATTGAAAGATCTGTTAACTTGTGATAGCGAGAAAATCTACTATTTATTATTACAAAATCAAAAATGTCATTACACTGTGCAACACTTTCTCATTTAAACACACACATTCTTTGGTTTTATGGCACACCATATTTACACTTACTCACTAAAGCCAATCTGAACCTCACATAGTTCTTGTTCAGTTATTTTTCAGAGGCCAAACTGAAGGATGTGAACAGGTTTAACCATTAAAAATTTAAAGAGAGCACACAGCTTTTAACAAACAGCAAAAAAAAATCTAATTACGCACCACTGTGACCTTTAAGGTGTTTATCACACACGCATCCATGTGAACAAAAAGAGGCTAAATATACAGACTGAAAGTGTCCAACTTTAATTAGAAGATCCAGTAATTGATACAGGTGCTGTCCCAGGTGTGAGCATGACATCTGTGTCCACTGTGTGCTGCTTTTATCCAGCAAACTGCTTTGACCACCAAAATGTAACGTCACAGACAACACATAATAAAGCCCTCAGTAAAAACTTGAACACAAGCAGGAATTTTCCAGAGCAGAGATATAAATCCTGTTAACCTGTGAAGGTTTCTGCTTATTGGGGCCCCTCATGAACTCCGCTGCCAGGCTTTTAACCAGAACAAAGAGATGAGATCACATCACTTCTGTCTCAGCCCCTTCACAGTGGCTCCCTGTAGGTTTTAGAACTTACTATTTTACTGACGACTTGTAAGGCCCTTCATGGCCTCTCCCAGCTATATCTTAAATCTATTAGTACCAAACACACAATATGAACTTTTCTTCAGGCAGAGGTCTTTTGTCTGTACCAGGGGCCAACTGCAAATTAAAGGGGACAGAACATTTGCAGTTGGGTCCCGAGGTTCTGGAACGATCTGCCCGAGGAAATCAGGTCAGCTGAGTCAGTGGCCTCTTTTAGGTCTCTTCCTCTTTCTCTAGCCTTTACTAATTTTTTTACTAATTTTTATTAAACTTTAATTTCCTTTGAGGTGCTTTTCTTTTCATATATTTATATATATATATATATATATATATGTATTTTACATCTTTTGCCACTGCAAGATTTTACATATCAAAGTGTAGATTTAGGATTAAGTGAGTTCTATCTTTATTCAAAGTTTGCGGTGTATTAGCTCTATGGGACTCCAGTGGTGGTGAGGTGTTCCTAAAATGCACTGTCCATCTGACCCGCTGCTTGTCCTCTTTAAAAACCCGACTGCTGGTGTCTTATTGCTCCTTGTTCAAAACAAACTGGACTGAACAAATAGTCACGATACTAAAACAACTGAGAAATAAAGAAACATTTTGGATTTGATAACATGTAAGGTACAAGCTCAGCAGTGCATGCAGACGTTGTAAAATGTTCCATAGTGAGTATGAATAGCTTGTCATCCATGGAGCCAGTGAAGACTCTGTGAATGCAGTGTAGTTTGGGATTAGGCTACAACGCAGTTTAGGATTAAGTTACAATGTTGTTCAAGATTAGGCAGCGTGAGCTGCATCAAAAGGAAGGTAAACAAATTACATTTTTTCCAGCTTGATTTTTTAAAATGTAAAGGATTGTTTATCACACTGGTGTTTGTGTCTCTGCTGTGCTGTGGTGTGGTGTGGTGTGGTGTGGTGTGGGAGCAGAGAACAGACTGGTTTCCCTGTGGAGCAGAACAACATGTCAGGACACACTCAAATCCCCTAAGAGACGCTGCAGCTGCTGCACAGTTGCAGCTGACTCAGTCAGTCCGAACAGGTATTAAACTCTGCACTGCTCTTCATGTAGTCTGAAAATGAAACTCAGCGAGCAGAGCGCTGTGCTTTGTCTGTGCTTTCAGGTGAGTGGGATTACACTGAAAGTTAATGTGTCTGTTGCCAGCTGTCGTCACAGAGACACACAGAGAAGGAAAGCAGTGTAATGGATTTTTCCACTGATTTCAAGCTGCTGCTGACATTTTACTTCTCTATCAGCAGGAGACCAAACACTGAAGGTGTTTACTGAGTGCATGCAAGATGGACAGACTGAATGAATTAATGATGAGGAGGAAAATGTCAAAGGCCAGACAGTCCACCAAGAAACATTAAGCACTGTCTGTAGGTCAGCATCACATGCAATGCATCCACTGTCTGTGGGTCAGTGTTCAGGTCAAATTCTCTAGAAATGAACTGAAACTGGGTGTATCAACCCAAAAACAGGTGGATAGCTCCAAAGAGGAGCAGCTTCTAATACGTACACGAAAACATAGAAACAGTGGGGTGTTCATTAAAAGAAAAAGAGCAGCTTAGAGTTCGATCATGATCACATCATGGAGTCTAATATAGCATTAAAGGTCCCATATTGTGCCCCTTTTCAGCAAATTAGTCTCACATGTCTTGTGTGCCTTTTAGCTTTTCAGCTTAATATACTGCAAAGATGGTTAATTTCACTATAACTGTATAACCACTGGTGGCAAAGCTGATCTGAGCCGTTTTGCTCTAAAAACCAACAAGCTGCTGCTGTTCCCATCGCCCTTCAAGAAGAACACACTGTCTGCATCTCTATTTGACAATGTGGTGCTATTAAAAAAATGTTGTTAAAATATAAAGGTCTTTATATCTTAACAATATTTATTTTACACCTCCAAGTTTATGCCAACCTCATACCAGAATAAAAATGGGTTTTCATCATATGGGAGTAAAATACAAAACTCACTGATGACTCAGCAAAAATACATGGATCTGCTGACAATGTTTATTCTGCCCACGTTTAGAATCTGTGTTGCACTTCTCTGTGTGCTACTAGGGTTGTTTATACCATTATTACTGAGATGTAACATCAGTCTGATGCATTAGACACGATGGAGGTCTGTCTGACAGTGTGAATTGGACAACACAGTAAATAATTGTTGGTGGTTAAATGAAAGGACAACAGAGGCAAGGAATTTTACAGTGACATTAACCAACGAGTTGTATTTAACATGGGTCAGTGGCATCTACTGATACCCACTCCATGTAATAAGGTCAACGGCTGCACAAATACCAAGACACACTGTCTGTTTCTTACAGAATCCCCACAAGCTTCCTCTCAGCTCAATGTTGTTTCTGGACAATTCTACCAAATTGCTGAATGACTTCCATCTAACATCATTTTTAAAGCCTTTTTGGTGTGACCACATGAGGAACAACGGGAAAAATAATTTTGTTCTCACTGCAACAAATTCTCCACTTGAATCTTTGTAAAAGCCAATATTTACAGACTGGGAGGCAATGTGTTCATGTCATATTATCTTGAAGCTAAGAGAGGGCAGAGCAGGATCAGCTGAGGCTGCAGGTCACAGTCGACTTTGACCATCACACGGTCACAGACCCTCAAGCCACAGAATAAACCTAATATGTCCTCTGTTGGTTTTATGATGTCCATGCCAGGGGGGAGAGTTCTGTGAGTCACTGATGAGGAGGTCTAAAACATCAGTACATACAGGGCACCCCTGGGCAAAATACATACAGTGGTGTTTGAAGAGAAAGCATAGAAATACAACTCCTGCAGCAAACATACATGCCTTTCTTCAAATGCTAATGCACTGTTACAATTTTCATTAATTTAATACACAACAAAACCAGTAAATGGCACGTGTAAAAGAAGGGGCACTTTTGGAGCACTGCTGTAAAAACCAGTTTTTCAGTTTCACTTTCTTGACTCACCCCAAAACAGTTGCATCCAGTGTTTGTTCATTCACATATTGATGTGTCCACAACACCAGATTAGATCTCCATTTCATGCATCTGTGCCTTCCGACGCTGTAGGTTATGTTTCTTTAATGCACCCCTGTTCCTGTTCCATGTAGACCTTCGTAAATAAATCTTCTCATTTATCATCAAGTTCTGATCTTGTGTGGTACTTTGTGCAGAGGGCAGAGATCAAATTAATCAGTTAAAGGCCCCATTTTTAAACTAAGCATTTTGTAATTGCTATGAAGGTATGATGGCTCTGCCATGATTATGCATCAGTGATGCACAGTGAAATGGTGCATCACAGGCATCCTGGTAGCTGAACAGCTAATGTACAGCAGCTGAAAGTCCCCGACACAGTGGCCATGGTTCGAGTCCAACCCCAAGGTCATTTGCTGCATGTTCTTCCCCCACTCTTTTCCCTACTTTTCCTGTCTCCCTTTCCACTTCACTATACAATAAAGGCTAAAAGGCAAAAAAAGAGAAAAAAAAAGAAAGAAGACATGTTGCACTACAACTCCTGTATCAGGCAAAACTTTCCTGTAACTCCTCTGTAATTATATGAAGGATTTGCCAGCAGCCATTTCATTCTCAGAGTTTTCTTGGTCTTCTAGATCTTGTCTTGACTTCCAGTTCTTCCCTTAACTGCCATTATTTCTTATTTCATTATTTCGTCTTCAATGTAAACTGCAAGCTGGAAGCATTGTGATCTCTTTTTATGGCCTTCCTCTGCTCTGTAGGCATGTGAGTGTTACAATAAGCAGGAAGAGTCAAAGAATTTATCAACCAATTTACGTCTAAAACCAATTTATCAATCAATTAGCTGACCTAATTAAATTCTTGGCTTGCTTTACAAGCCTTGTTGAATCAGTTAAAGCCTAACGATTTAATTGGGTTCTTAGAATTAACGAAAGAAGGGTGCCAAAACTTTTGCGCATGCCATAAATAATTTGTGTTATTGTCAATTCAGACACCAAGACCTCAATTTTTACTTCACATATATCCATCCATCCATCCATCCATCCATCCATTGTCTATATACTGCTTAATCCTCACTAACTAGGGTCGGGGTTGGGGGGATGGGGGGAACCTATCGCAGCCGACTTAGGGCGAAGGCAGGGCTGCACATATACATTGGTTCCAAATTATCGGTTCACCCCTGATGCTCAGAGCTGCTCAAATTCTTGCATACAACTGACAGCAGTGTCTCTGACTGAAAGCACCACAACTCAGCATCCCCCTGCCTGTGGCTGAGCTAACGTTTAGTTTTAGATTCCTCTCTCTGGTGCCTAGATACTCCATCTGTGAGGACACCAAGTGAACACAAAAACAGAGTTTGCCATCAAATTTACCTTCGACAGGTGACGTCCTCAGTCGGGCACACAGTCCATTAATGTCTCCATAACACTCCTGGATCCTAGTTATTGCTTCCGCTCCTCGTAGTTCCATGAGTGATCGCAGCTCCTGCAGTGAGCAGCTGAACTCTGTCTCATGGTTGGCCTCGTAACGTCGGCCATGTTTGGACCCACGAAAAGAGTTATTGGCCATGTCTCCTTCCTCCGGGAATCAACAGAGGCCTTCCCAAAAAACACAGACTCAATGGTAGGCCTCAGGTGCAGATCTAGCCTGACGGGGACTCTGTGACTGTAGGGACACAGACAGGTAAGGTCAATTCAGATGCCTCATTGGAACAAAAATAAATAACCCTAGGGGAAATATGTAGAAATATGATCATGCTAAAGGTTGGAATTAGACAAGAAGGTTAAGTCTGATTTCTGAGAGGTGGTGGTTGACACATAGAATACATGTTGCCCATGAAGGGCTTTAAAAGACAGACGCCTTCTGTGACATAGCATAGTCAAATGTGACTTTTTCCTTTTTTTTAAGCAAAAAATATGCCATTGAAGTCAGAGTAAATGAGTATGCCTTTTCCAGAATTACATTTCTATGATTGTGGAGGTTTTGAAATAGTACCACAAAGTCACCATACAGAAGTATTGGATTTACAGCAGAACTAAAATAACTGAAATATGTTGTATCAGTTAAATTTGCTTGCTCAAAATCATTAAATAACAGATGATGATAGAAAAATAAGTAAATCAGATTGTGTCATTATGATATGATTCGCCTTCAGGTCATCATAACAACCCGACCTTTTAACAACCAGCTAGGAGTTTGACAAGAACATAGTTGTCTAAAATATGCATTTATTATGACTTAATGAGCTTTTCATTGACTAAACTAAAAAACTCCTTTGAGAAATGTTAAAAGTGACAGAGAAATGTGTCTTGTGTAAATAATGGCTATTCTATAATTCTATAGCTGACCCATCCTGACCCAAGAACCACCTTCAGATCAGAGTAGAGTATTTTTGAGGAAAGAACATTCAGAGTTTCTTCTTTTGTAATATCATGATCATGCTCACTATTTACTATACTGAAGCAGTGAAGGTTATGCTTGTAGCATTGTAGCTCATCATCAACACGAATCAGCTGTAAAAGTAAAAAAAAACCTTCAATCAACCAGGTCCCGAAAGACCAGGACTCACTTTACACACACTTAACAGAAGCTGTTGATTCATTTTGAAAAACCTGAGTTTGAATACACAATTGTGTGTGGTGAAGAGTTTGTAAGCAACGGGTCATGTGTGAACTGAAAGCCTTTATATTTGTTCCTCACAGGTTGCGACCTCTGTGCCTTCAGCTGTAATCTGTGTCAATCAGTCAGCCCAGGCTTAATCTGAGCGAGGGGGAAGCAGCCTGTTTAAGGCTGAAGGAGAGAAAGAAAAGAGCTGCTGAGAGCAGAACAGGATGAACACAAGGCATGATGATCAAATTAGTGGAAAAAGCTTTGCTGTTCATTGTACACAACTAAAGCTTCATTAGTGATTTCAAGCAACAATTTAAATGCACAGGGGTTCAGTTTTTACAACATGAAACACAGAGGGACTGCAAATCCTCATATTACAGAAACTATGACAAGATCATTTGGACTTTTTTTTTTTGAGAAATTCAGTTGGCCTGTTCAAAATTAACTAATCATCGCAGCAGTGCATGAAACTACACACAGTATAACTTTGAAAGAGGAGAATAAATTCAGCAGGCAACTCTCCAGACCGAGGAAACACTGTGAGGCTTTTTGACAAAGAAACTAATTAGAGCCAATTATCTCTGAAAATAAAATGGTCACTTCATTGCTGCAGCGCTGAGAAGAAGAAAGGCTTTACTTACAGAAACTTCCCCCATCTCCTCCTGTTAGCAGCAGCAGGTATTAGTGGCAGTCCGATTACTCTGAGCAGCGTCACACTCACAGCTCCAGAAACAGCCCATAACCCAGCCACAGCCCCTCAGCCGGTAGTCTGCAGACCTGCTCCAAGACCACAGGTTATTCCCCAAACTAGTGTGTACTATCCAGAAATTCAGTTTGACCTTCAGCAAGCTCAGAGTCACAAGCAGCGCTCCATCGGAGGAAAAAACGGGAGCTGGCTAACTGATTATCTGAGGAAAGCCTCGCTTAATCTAATTAGACAATCTGTGGCTTCAGTGAGTGCCAGAGAGAGAGACTGCTGCTGCTGCTGCAGCTCCTCCTGCTGAGAGGGACACATCAGGTCTGCACAGAGTCACAGACTGAGTCTACGCACACCAGGTGGAGGCCACACCTGCTGCTGCTATAAAGCTCCTCCTGCTGAGATGAACACACAAACAGACCTGAGAAAAACATATAAAATTGAAGATAGGTGGTATACAAGTGTACAACTGGGAATCAAACCCCAGAAAACACCCTAAAAACCAGTTTATATCCAGCCAGAAAATCTGAAGACAGCCCAGCAGCCAGCCAGAGGTCTCTAATGTGTGCTGTGCTCTGACGGCATTAGTGATTGTTCACTACAGTTGTTTTTATTTGTTACACACACAGAATTCACACACACTTCCCAACCCCCCACCACCATCATCAGCAGTGATGCAAGCTGACATGAGGTGGCACATGCTCACGTGACACACAGAAACACACACAGGTGGATTACAGCACATACAGACACAGGAGGATAAACTGAACACACATACATGGTGGTATCACTCCTTCACATTTGCATTATATTATTTTTGCGGTGAGCTAGCATGACCTTTGACCCCACACTCAGACTACACGGTCAGTGTGAGGACTCATTTAACAGATCAGCCAGGGACTAACGACTCCCTTGCAGATTCACCACAAGCTTCGTGTTCATGCTGTAACAAAGTCATAATTGATAATAATTTATTTTCGCATTGTAAACCATGTCGGCGCTTCACTGAATGTTTTAACTGATCTGGAGGTGATTACATTTTTATAGTTCAAATGAATAAATCTTCATCGTGTGAGGCTGAATAAGGTCTGTGAATTCAGTTTGCTTGATAAATTTCCTCAGGCTGAATTGGTTTATTTGGAACTGAGCATGTTGACCTGGGATCAGCTCACCAGTTTGTACAGCACAGTGTGTGTGTGTGTGTGTGTGTGTGTGTGTGTGTGTATGTGCATCTCTGTGTGTGCGTCTCTGTGTGTGTTGCCACCCAGTGGCCACATGTAGTCAATATACTGGACCCAGCACAGCACACACCACAACCTAAATATAGAGCATGCATGTTATATATTTAGTCTGTGGCACACACTCAATCCTGAAAAAATCTGTCATCTACTGCATTTCACTCTTGTTACTGTTTAGCTTATACTGCAAATGTCAGAGAGCGCTACAACAAGTGTGCCGTGACTGTAGAGGTCTGCAACAACAACAGCAACAGTAACACATCTGATCAGAATCAGACGAAGTCAGTGGTCTCTGAGAAAGCGTTTTCTAACAATGTTCAAATGTAAATACAAAGACAGTCAGTCGAAAGACAGTCATATTGTACCGAAGTTACTGTAACATTTAACATGACGGACACGGAAGACACATTCCATGTTTATTTACCTTTTATGTTTATCTTTCAATCAGCTATAAAGGTCTGTCTGAATTTTTACGGAATAGTACCATTTTAACACTGTGTTTAATTTGGTCTTTTTAAAAAATCATTAATGTGCACAATCCGGATGCTGACTGCTTTGTTTCTATATTATCCCAATTTTGTCTCTCATATATTATCCTGAGGGCTGCAAGGTGGCACAGTTGGTAGCACTGTTGCCTCGCCAGTTCGCGTTCCAGTGGGGGCACCGGGATCTTTCTGTGTGGAGTTTGCATGTTCTCCCTGTGCAGCGTGGGTTCTCTCTGGGTTCTCTGGCTTCCTACCTCACAGTCTAAAAAACATGTTGGGGCTCATTGGTGATTCTAAATTGTTTGTAGGTGTGAATGTGAGTGTGCTTGGCTGTTTGTCTCTAAGTGTAGCTCTATGATAGACTGGCGACCTGTCCTGGGTGTCCCCTGCCTTCGCCTTAAGTCAGCTGGGATAAACTCCAGCCTCCCCGCGACCCTAGTGAGGATTAAGTGGTGTACAGATAATGGATGAATGGATGGATATTATCCTGACCTTGAAACTCTTTTGTGCCTTCATCACACAATCATATGTACCCATGTGTATCTCTGACATGATGTTCATTCCTGGACATAAAGGACATGCTTGATTTGTCGTGTTTCCTCTCCTTCGTCACTTTTGACAGATATTTCTTGGGATATGTTTGTAGTTTTTGTACCTTTATTATCTCTAAAACAAATTATCCTATGACAATTGTACAGTTGATTTAGGGTGAATATATCTGTTTGCCTCATGTCTTTGACTTGGTTGAACCATGGTTGAACCATGGTTGAACTATGGTTGAAACATTACAATGCTTGTATAATAACAGCCTGTGAATTAAGCAGTGTTCTCCAGTCCCCTTTTTACTCTGAACATTTGACATCCTCAGCCTGAGAAGCACCACACCATCTCAGAGTACCAGAATAGTCATAGCTATTTGCTCCCAATGTATTTAGATAACTGCAATGTGATATCAATATGTGATATATGTTCTCGACCTGTCCAGGGTGTCCCCTGCCTTCGCCCTAGGTCGGCTGGGATAGGCTCCAGCCCCCCCGCGACCCTAATGAGGATTAAGCGGTGTATAGAAAATGGATGGATGGATATATGTTCTTTTGTTTAGGTATAAAAACCAGCATCTGTTGATGCAAACCTCCACTGCCCTTCTAAATGCTTCTGAATACAATAAACCACTGTTGAATCTGTACTGGTGGTGCTTCATTGTACCTGACTGAATACTCAGTATATGCATATGACTCAGTGTTCAGCAAACAAGTATACGCCCTCTTACAGTACTACATCACCAAGTACAGAACAATGGTAATATACATTTTTATCTAACTATTTTTTGTGCATAATAATCTGTATACTTATTTCAAAAATACACCACGGCTTTTTGGATGAGGAAATTTAGCACGAAGATTTAAGACTTCAAAAAAAGCGATCAGTTTAGTAGCCAACAGGAGCCGCGGTGGGAGTGGCCGTGACAGCTTCTGCTTTGCGCTGATCACGTGTCTCTGTGATCAGCTGATCGTGACGTCATTCTCCAACATGGCGGACTGGAATAGAGGTTTGTTTTTGACACGTATTCACTTCTAAATATTCAGCAATTTAGTGTCTCCAGTTGAACAGTTAACAATACCGCAGCCTTGTTAGGGTAGCAGGAATTACATTTCTCTTCAGTTGCGTGTTTGAGGTGGGAATATGTAGTTTATTCACTCGGAGCTTAAATGAATCATACAGCTTCGCTAGCAGGCTAACTAGCTTATGAGTTTAGACCTGACAGGTTAGCTGTCTTGACAACAGATAGGTCTGGCCCACTGGGAGCGGAAAGTTTAACTCACATTCACAAAATCCTGGCATTGTTTTCCCGCATGTCAGAGAGAAGCTGATACTTAATATGTTCACATAGTTGTTGTCTGATATTCCGAGAAACAGATGAGCTCATGCAGTACTGACACAAAAACACGGTTTACTTAGAGAGACTTGAGGAAACTATGCAAGGACACTGTAGTCTGGGTTAGTGGTTTTACTTCATTGTGGGGTAACACTAGTGTTTCCGTGTCATAGACTGTTTTTCCTGTTGATATATTTTCTCTTACTTACGTCTGAGAGTAACCACAGGTGGACTGATGTGATTTTTCCACGGCTTTTCAGCACTTTGTCGAAATGTCTTTGTTTATGTTCTGATACACTTGTTATTTTTGGCAGATTCCATATTCATAAGAATAATTGACCTGAAACCCAGCCAAGTTATAAAACTTAAAAAGTTCTGAAACAGGTGGTCACGAAAAAAAAGGTCATTCGATATTCATATGTTAATGTGTCTTTATATTTGTAGGAGCCATTTATGTTTATTGTTGGCAGGTTATTTAATATACATTATTTAGACACATGGTGGCAGTAATTAGACACAGGGTGTATATATAGAGGCCACAGGTGACAGGAAGAGGAAGGCACAGGTAGGGGGATGGCACACAGTGCTCACCAGACCAGCATCAGACAAGCACAGATGTATTCCAAATTCACTATAGGAAAACCGCTGTATTTTCATCTTTGCATATGGTCAAATAAACCATTCACTAACGGCAAGTATAGGGACTGGAAAATCTGTTTTTGGGTCAGCGTCGGTTCACTCCTGCTCCACCTGTGCAGTAACGGCAATTAAAGGACATTAGGACATTGAAAATTGCCATTATATTACAGTGTCAAAGTACTACATTTTTTAAAAATTATACAACCTGAAGTCACAATATAATAATAAGAACCAAGCAACAGCGTATTTTCAGGCACAAAGTGGTGCTATATTATGACCAGAAGGTCTGTCTGCAATTTTAAACTGTGAGAAAAATATTAAGAGATTTCCAGTAAGTGTTATTTTGCATGTTTTTAGGAGTTCTACCTGTGATATGATGAGATTCACATGGAGATTGATAAAAACTTGTTATGAAAATGGCTAGGCTTATTATGAGCTTAGTTGGGCAATATGTTGATACTCGTCACCCTAATAATGACTAAAGAAGTGGTTACAAAATCAGCCATCTCTTCTTTTGATTTCTAATCCACTGTGTTTGTGTGTTTCCAGGTCATGGCTCTGTGGATGACATGCTGGATGCTGAGAACAAACGACTGGCTGATAACTTGGCCACCAAAGTCTCCAGACTGAAATCTGTGAGTAACGCCCCCAAATTACTCCTTTTATCCACCAGCTCTATTATTTAAACTGCTGTTTTTTGATTAGTTTTTGAGTATTAGGTTACTGGTGTCAAACTTGTCCAGTTGAAATTACAACTAAAGGTGTCACTATTTCCTCAATTCATTTTCAAAGCCAGAAACATAGTTACTTATTATCTCACAAACAGAACCATTTAAGCCCCTTTCAGACATTCACTCTAATCCGTTAATCTGTCAGCAATTTAACACGTCTGCTTCATGTCTGAATGTCCACCCTGGTCATGTTTCTGTAAAGGTCACCGGCAATGTTACTAGGTTGGACCTTTTAACATTTCCGTACCAATTTCAACATGGTACAAGTCTGAAGTTGAAAAATACTTTATTCATCCCAGAAGGGAAATTCAATTAATGACAGAAGCTAAAGTTTGTTTCTTTCAACTGTTTAGAACTATTCTCTCCGAGTTTATTAAATATTTGCAGCATCCGACAGCAGCACATGTGTCTCCAAAGAGTGAGAGTTGAAAACATTTGCACATTCGGGAACAGCACTGTTAACTTAGTTTAATTCTTACAATTATAAATTATCCTCAGGACAGTAGATCAGTCCGGGTCAGGATCTGACAGCGGGTCTCACTGTATAGGTCTGCATGTTTTCACATCAGACAGGTGAGCCCTCACCCACTGATGAGCAGTTTAGTTTCCAGCTGTTAAGGACTACTTCTTCATAGTTTACTACATGCCTGGAGCAGCAGACAGAGGTAGAATCCATCACTGTCTCCAAAGAGAGAGAGCTATGTGCATGTATGCACTGAGCAACAACAGTGACTTCATTAGTTAGATCCAAGACTGATCAGGGTCTGACAGCAGCTGTGTACTTTACTTCACCTCAGACAGATGAGCTGTCACACAGAGTTGCAGTTTATCAGCTGCAGTTAAGAAATTTGTTACATTGCAGCTGTCGTCAGCTCAGTCCTGAGCTCTTAGTCTCACTGTTTCAGAAATCAGAGATAAACTGGACTATTAATTGTTTGGACACATGGTTCAGCTGCTATTCGTTTAGTTTTAGTCTATTATTGCAATATTATGCATTATACATCACCTGGATTATTGATTAGTCTTGCATCAGTGACAAATACCACATTCACCAGCACTCTAGGGGTATGGCTGAATGCAGCTGTGAGGAACAATACAAAAACCTATCAGACCTATGTCTGAATGACTAGAATGCTGTGACGAATTTACAAAGCCAGTGATGTTCCATGTCTGAAAGGGGATTTGTTGTTTATTTGTACTCCCAGAACTCTAAAAGTAGTTCAGTGCAGTGCAATGCAGTTCACAGTAACGCCAAAATCTGCACAGCAACCCAGATAAAATAATGATAACAATGACGAATTAGTTAGTGCATGCAGGGAAGCCATCAGACACACCTTCTCCCAGTTCATGATGATAGTGTGGAAGAGGTCCAGTTCCGCACAATAAACATAGATTTTTATTGTTAAGGGGCAGAGCGTTGGGGAATTATCTGCAGCAAAGGACCATTCACAGGAACTGAACCCAAGCTGCTCCAGTAGGGTCTGCAGCCTTTGTATATGAGGCGCATGGCCAAAGCAGATGCTTTCTGGTCTAGACATTTTACTGCAGTGTGTTCTCCCCTGAAAATCTGCTGTCATGTTCTCTGTACTACCTATAGTTTGAGTCTGGATCATGTGAAAATTAATTAGATGTCACATATCATTGCTTTGTTGGAAAAAAAAACCCAAACTTGATTGTTCATTCTGTCTTTCTGTATTTGACAGCTGGCTTATGACATCGACAGGGAGGCCGATGATCAGAACGAGTACCTCGACGGCATGGTGAGCCCTTTCTGACTGTGTATTACCAGCGAAAGTGAAATAAACCTTTGATTTTTAAACTAAATAAGAGCTGGTGTTTGGTTTTTTCTTTCTGTCTGTGGAAATCTGTGAGGCTCCGCGGGAGCTGTAGTTGTTGAATGACTACAAAATAATATCTTCATGACGGCCTCTCTACAATGTGTGATTTTGGGGATATCGTTAGTAAAGGATCACAGTTGTGGGAGAAGAGCTTAAGTCTGACAATCCAAAGTGCAAGGATTACTCGTCACTGAGGCACTTTTCAATAAAGGGGTCTGAGTGTAAGAATGAGCAATGTTATTTGATAGTGTGTGTTAATGGTTAAATTTGACATAGCAGGAGAAATGTGTGTTTAACTGTGAGACAGACAGGTGAAAAGTAACACGCTGCATTCATTATCATAAAAGCATCTTGTCTGTCTTTCAGGACTCAAACTTCCTGAGTGCGACCGGCTTGTTGAGCGGCAGCGTGAAGCGATTCTCCACAATGGTCCGATCTGGGAGAGACAACCGCCGCATCCTCTGCTACGTCTCTGTGGGGCTGGTCCTGGTCTTCTTTTTGCTCTACTACTTGGTCTCCAGGATTCAGCGCTGATGGGAAATCATCTCAGCCTGGACCTGGTCCTGATGTGGAGATGAGACTGTAGACTGTGATGCCATATCTGATAGGTTTAAATAAGCTCTGTGGATCTCATGCGACTGAGAAGACTTTTTTTCTTTTGAAAACAAACGGGGAGTAGACAGAAAACATTTTCGCTGTATTGTTGGTCGGCACAGTAGGGAACATCGGCCAGCTCCCTGGGGGAAACTGCAGTTGGTATGGTCATAACACAGACCCTGGAGTCTCTTCAAAAGAAAGAAACATGCCAGGACTTTGGGGTCTTCTGCTTGGCACCGACTTTGTCCCATCCTGCAGCTGCCAGAAAGTCCTTATTTGGACTGAGAAAGGGGGAGGCCTGAATGCATGAGTATGGTACACATTACTGCTGAGTTTAATGGATTGATGAAACCATCAGTCAGGACAAAATATATTTAATAACAGATTTACTGTGTCTCAATTTCAGACTACACGATAATCTAAAGAGCCCATATTATGTATACTTTTACAGATTTAGAATTTATTTTGAGGGGTCTACTAGAATATGTTTACATGGTTAAATGGTCAAAAACACAATCTTTCTCCGACTGTACATTCCTGCACCATTGCTTCTCACCTTCCACCTGAAATGCTATGTTTTGGCTGCTGTCCCTTTAAGTCCACCCTTCCTGAAAAGCCCAGTCTGCTCTGATGATTAGGTACCACACAGCTGTGTAGCCAGTGATGAAGATCAAGCAGAGGCTGCTCTAGTGAATATCATAAAGGTAGACTGTGAGGAAGCTGCTCATTCTTTGTTTGAGGGACAAACTAGCTGCTAGACAGGTGTGATGCAAACATGTTACACAGTCATGTAGATAAGTAACAAAAGAAATGCCAGAACTGTAAACCATGTGTTTCAGGCAGGTAAGGGGGAAGTCCAAAAAGTATGATATGGGCTCTTTACAACTAGAATTTAATTCTAGCTAGTCTGTTTACATTGCAAAGCTGACAGATTTATTTGGAGTGTGCTGCTTATGTTTGCTGTTGTCTCATAAAGCAATGCACAGAGGAAATGAAGAAATAACGAGTGAGACAGAAAAGCCAAAGGTAAAAAGTTTTATATATATCTGGAAAATGTCCCTTTCTTGTTGAGGTTTAATTGTCAGTGTTATTCCACTGCATATATTTTTCTATTTTCTGGGGCTCAATCACTCAATCAGTTCTATCAGTGCAAGACAGAAGAGTATTTTTTAAAGGATGATTCATATGTACACAGCAAAAACACGTAATATACCCCGAACAAGAATATAAACACAGCATGCAAGTGGTCCTCTTTTTAGACTTAGAAAAAAAGAATGTTAAAATCTAATTTCTATTGTTGTTTTGGTTAGAAAATGGTTAAACTCAGCTAATAGTGCACCAACTGCTGTTTAGCTGGTGACAGATTTTCAGTCATGAGTTAATCCACACCCGAGGCAGCTGTGCCTTTAAAGGACAATGATCAAATAATGTGATTAGTGCAGAGACACTTCTTTGACCAGTGACTAGAAAAGGCCACCCTAAAATGCAGATGTTGACTTGATGCAACAGATGACAGGAGAATAGGAGAACAGGCTGTTGGCGCTGTAGATGCTGGCATGACAGTTAGGGCCGTAGTTAGGCACTTGAAATTCCACAAATTTCCCATTTATCTTTTAAGAAACCATTTCGAACAGCATGATGTGAGAATCTGCCACATGATGCTCTGCATGTGTATGAATGTGACATTACGCGATCCTGTCCCCCAAAATGTTATCATGTCCAATAACATCGCATGCTGCATTTATATTTATGTTCGGTGTAAATGAGACGCCATTTGTGTGTATATAGTGTGGAATTTGAAGAAGGCAGGTGAAAAAACTTCAGTTGTGAACAATAATTGGCAAGAATATCTGCTGTTGGCTGGTCTTTGGAAGGACAGCTCTTTCATCTTCACATCTGTCTTTTGGACATTTTCATATGTACAAAGGGAACCTTATTGATCCTGCAGTTGTTTAACAGAGTTAGCAAATATTTTAACAACAATGTCACATTCAAATCTTTTTTTTTTTTTTTTAAATGTAACATCATTGTGCTGTGTTGCGTTGGACTTTGGATTAATGAGCTGTTTTTTCAGCTTGGGCTCACAGTTAAACCTGTTTTCTTCTAATAGGTATTTTTAAATAGGAACTGCCCTGTCCTGTTCTTACAGGGACAGTTTGTTTATAACCTTTTGTTTTCCCCACATTGAGCCAGTGAAACAGATTGTTGAAGATTAGAGACTGTTAAAAAGATTTTCCTTCCTCAGTGTGTCGACATTCCATCTGTCTGCATTGGTGACAGCATGAGACATTAAATATTATTACTAATACATATGCAATAAATGGTTTTAACTTCTGAACATGTTATTTATAATTTCTACTTTCTATGTGTTTAACACATTAGAACATTTAAGTTCTGGGAATTATATGAGATATTCTGAAAATAATTTAGTACTATTGCATTTTAATAATTTTTTCAAATAAAGTTTTTATTTTCACAATATGTATCTTAAAACCTTTGATAAGCAAATAATAAATTCAATAAAGCTCTCTAAAAATATTTTGCTTATAAAATTCTTCATAACTTTACTTTTTTGTCTTTGTGGCTTTAAAATTGTCAAAATGAAATATTGTAAATACTGATGACTGGAAAACCATTTGAAATAGTGATGTAAATACTATAATTCTGTTCCTTAGTTAACCATGCTGCTAAATTCATGCAGTCAGTTTGCACCTCTGAACCATTTTAGCCTCTTATGTACGTACCTTAAATTGCCCCTTGGGGACAAATAGAGGGTTTTGTTGTTGTTGTTGTTGTTTTTTGTTTTTTTTAAAAAATTGAATTGATTTTAATTTTTTCCACTGTGGTGCGTTCACGTAACAGCTACAGAGAGGAAAACTGATATTCCGAATCAGATGTAAATTTAGGGATTCATAATTTCTCTCGTGTTGGGTGCTGATGTTTACACCAGTACAAACAAACATTCAATACATTTAAAGATCGGAGTGCGTTTATATGAAATTGAACAAGTGATGTAATGCCTACAAATTCGGATTTTGCGCGCTTTGCCCGCTATGTGTCGCTTCGGGTCGATTCGTGTTCTTTCGGCATTCTCCGGATTATCTCTCCCCTCAGACTTCATGAAAAACAAACAACGGGCGGCCCTCCTCTCTCCGGATTAGCTCGCCTGATTCCCTTCCGTTTCCATTAATTTCGGAGAAAACATTGCTGATTTGAAAGATTATTGTTGACGCGTTTCGTGTTCGGGGTTCTTCTCCGGTTCGTCACAGGTTCGGCTCCGCTCGGAGCCCGCTCTGCCCCGCGGCTGCTCGGTCATATTCGGCTCTTGTCGTTCGGCGGAAGAATGGACGAAGCGGACTCGGCCACGAAGGCGCTCGGGCTGGATGAACCGCCCATCGGCGGGCCGTCGGTGGAGGGAGTAGGCTCGGATACCGAGTCGGAGGCCGAAGTCACCACGATGGCTGTGATGGCAGAACCGGGAAACATCGACATGGGAGCCGAGTCCCTGCCGAACCCAGACGAGGCCGAGGCTGCCTTCGCTGGTAAGACTGGCTTTCTTTAGCAGCAGGCCGCTGCAGTCCGGGGTGGCGCTAAAACACAGAATGAAATGATTATATTCCCGCAGGTTAGTTAGCTCCAGTCCGTGTTTAAACTGGAAGAACCAAGATGTCCGGAGAATATGTGACTTGTTGTCGATACAAGTTAAACAGTAACGATTCTCCCACGAAACTGCACAGCTGTTCAACAAACAGTAAAAGAACCATCATTGCTCTGTGACAGAGCGCACATTTAGTAGTTTAGTAGTGTAGTGCCAAACTCTGTTCACTTATTGTGTAAATTGAAAAACTGTAGCATATTCATACTATGTGCAATACTTAAAGTGTAACGGATTAATTCAGTTTATTAATGAAGCAAGCATTTCCAAATTCGGCAGTGAGAGTGATCCCTTATTAGCAGCCTTAATGTAACATCCAAACTTTAACTTTATTCAGTCTTAGGTTGTTCTTCGACAGCAGTTTGCACACTGCCTGAGTGATAGCTGGCTGAATAAGATTAACCGTGATTAAAGTATGCATTTTTTAACCTACATCTGGTTTGTTTAAACACTTGTTGACTGAATGAATGAGTTATATTGTGCATTTCTCTCATTGCTGCTCCAATGAAATGTCTGAGGTTTGGTAAAACCAAACTGTCCTAAAGCTGCCTTATCTGACCAGGTTGTATCAGCAGTGGGCAGACTGGAGGATTGCCAGTCAGAGAGCTGTGAAAAATCAAGTTCATTCGCACATCTTTCAATACCAGATATGCAAAATGCATATTTTGGAAATTTCGGATGAAAATGCTCAGAAAGCAGCTGAAAACCAAAGTCATTCAGCCGAAGTTCTGACACAGAGCAGTCTACGGCCAGGGACGTTTAAGTACAGACCCATTTCCAAAAAATTAGAATATCATGGAAAAGTTTATTTATTTCCATAATTCCATTCAAAAAAGTTAAACTTTCATAGATTATAGATTCAGGGCCCACAATTTAAACGATTTCAAGTACTTATTTGTTTATTTTTACATAATTTGGGCTTCCAGCTCATAAAACCCACAAGAACAGGAATTCCAAAAGTTAGAATACTGTGAAGAAATCAGCCCAGATTTTGCAGGGCATGAATGTTTTAAACTGAGTGTCACATACAAATCATCTACTAAACTCAAAGCACCTGCTCAGGTTTCCCCAGGTGTCATTAAATTGCTTCAGTTTGGTTCATTTGTCTCAGTTCGGTTCAATATGGGCAAGACTGCAGACTTGACAACTGGCCAGAAGACCATCATTGATACCCTCCACAGGATGGGTAAGCCACAAATGTTCATAGCTACGGAGGCTGGCTGTTCACTGAGTGCTGTGTCCAAGCATATCAATGGAAAGTCTAGTGGAAGTGCAAAATGTGGCAGGAGAAGATGCACCAGCAAAAGAGATGACCGTGGACTTCAGCGGATTATCAAACAGAGAAGATTCAAGAATCTGGCAAAGATCCAGAAAGAGTGGAATGAGGCAGGAGTCACAGCTTCAAAAACCACCACATTCAGACATATCTGGGAAATGGGCTACAACTGTCGGGTTCCTCGGGTCAAGCCACTTCTGAGCCTGAGCCAATGTAGGAAGCGTCTCAACTGGGCCAAGGAGAAGGAGGACTGGACTGTTGGCCAGTGGTCCAAGGTCCTCTTTTCCGATGAAAGTAAAGTGTGCCTTTCATTCGGGAATCAAGGTCCAAGGGTTTGGAGGAAGACGGGTGAGGAACAGAACCCAAGCTGCTTGAGGTCCAGTGTGAAATATCCACAGTCAGCCATGATTTGGGGTGCAATGTCCGGTGCAGGTGTTGGTAAACTCTGCTTTCTTAAATCCAAAGTCACCGCAACAGTCCACCAGAATGTTTTAGAGGACTTCATGATTCCTTCTGCTGAGGATCTGTATGGAGATGCAGATTTCATTGTCCAGCAGGACCTGACCCCTGCCCATACCGCCAGAAGCACCAAAACCTGGTTTGATGCCCGTGCCATCACAGTGCTTGACTGGCCATCCAACTTGCCGGACCTAAACCCCATTGAGAATCTATGGGGTATTATGGGGGAGGAAAATGGGGGGCACCAGACCCAAAAACAAAGAAGAGCTGACAGCAAGCATCAAGGAAATCTGGGCTTCCATAATTTCCAGGCAATGCCACAGGCTGATTGCCTCAATGCCACAGCGCATCAAGGCAGTGATTAAGGCAAAGGGATTCCCAACCAAGTATTGAAGACAGACATATCGTTTTGAAAGTACCATATTTTGATTGATTTGATGTGATCCTATTTTTTTTTCTGCAAAAACTGAGAAGTAAATGGTGATTTCTTCACAGTATTCTAATTTTTGGAATTCCTGTTTTTGTGGGTTTTATGAACTGGAAGTCCAAATTATGTAAAAATAAACAAATAAATACTTGAAATTGTTTAAATTGTGGGCCCTGAATCTATAATCTATGAATGTTTAACTTTTTGAATGGAATTATGGAAATTAAACAACTTTTCCATGATGTTCAATTTTTTTGGAAAGGGTCTGTAGTTGTAGTGATTTTCCTCATTTAAACATTTTATGGCAGATGTGGTGAAAAGAAACAGTCATCTTACTCCAGTGATAATAACATTTATTATTTCCCATATTTACTACTGCACGTTCTCAATAAAACTCTCCAGTTTGATTCTAATGTTAACCTGCCTGTAGCAACTGTAATACAGCAGAAGTTCTAATCTGAGGGTTTCTGCGTTGTTAAAATATTTCAATCCCTTGTTTCTGATCAGAGGTGACAGCGGTGACGGTGGCTGACGTTCACGCAGCAGAGGACAACGTTTTCACCACGACGGTCGCCACATCAGGAAGCCTCCCTGAACACGTGCTGGTAGGTCAACACAGTGATGGTCACGTTGCTGCACCTGCTCAGTGTCACTCTTTATGATACAGATACAGATCATCTTTTTAGTAACATGTGCACAATAACGTCCATAACTTTTGTTGTAGTACATTGTAGTACACCATTCTTGTGCATAACTCCTGCTCCCAGATGCTGCAGGTGCTGCTCTTTGGGCTGTTTATTAAAGTAGTTTTCTTTTTTTCTTCGTTCCAATTAAATGTCATGGACAGTGTTGTCTTACTCTGGAATCTCCTGAAGGTGTTCAGCCACCTAAAGGACAACTAATTCAATTCAGTTCAGTTCAATTCAAATAACTTTATTTATTCCCTAGGGGCAATTCAAAAGCTCACTGGGTATTTGCTATAAAGACATCAAAATATATAAATAAATAAACAATGAACCATAAATATCACATTATGAAGCATTGGCAGGGAGTCAGTGGGTCACAGATGGTTGTGCATTTACAAGGAGAACAGCTCTGCGAACAAAAGCCTTCCTTCTTTGAGTCTGGCAGCCTGGGCAGCGAAGGCGATGTCCAGAGGGGAGCCACTAAAATGTAGGGAACAGCGGGTGTGATGGGTCCTAAAGGATCTTGCTGGCTTTCCTTAAGGTCTGTTGCTCACAGAAGGTGGAGAGGGCTCTTACAGGGAGCCCGATCACTTTGGAGCAGATCCTGACAACGCTCAGTAGTCGGTTTTTACTTTGGATAGAGATAGAGTGAAAAAAGGAAGTAAAAGAGAAGGTGATAATGCTCTCTATGAAATGCTCTCTGTAAAATGTTGTGAGGATGTTTTTGCTCACACTGATATTTTTTCATTTTTTAACTAAGAATCTGCTTCCATCTAGACCTCGGTCATGTTAGTAATACAGCTGCAGTTAACAGCTGTTGTCATTGTCAGTTAATCTGTCAATATTTCCTGCATAATTAGATTGGTTATTATGTATAGAACATGTCAGAAAACTGGGGGAAAATGTCAGTTTGTGTTTCCCAGAGCCCAAGATGACATCCTCAGATGTCTTGTTTTGTCCACAACCCAAAGATATTTACACATTTAAAAAGGCTTGTATCGGGGAATTTAGACTTTTTTTTTGTCTTAACAAATTACATAATCCAAGTAATAAAATATCAAAATAGTTCATGATTAAACTGATAGTTGACATTTGAGGGGCGCAGTGCCAAAGCGGACAAAACCACAAAAAATCCAAAGTTGAGTTTTATGTTTTGTTTGATAAGTGTTCATGGTCTACTAGTTTGTGGCAAAGTGGTCCAACCAGCAGCCCACTAGTAATGTCACGATGCGACTGAAGTTTGGCCCATAATGGTTTTGGCATGAAAATTTAGTGGTAAACTGGGCCAAGCCACAGGAATTATATCACGGATGCAGGTAGTTGCATGTGTTTGCGATTCAAGATTGCAGACAGCGCGACTTCAAGCCTTGTGAAAACTCAACTCGGAGGTACAGTAAGGTAAAATAAAAACTTAACGAACCACCACCAAGCATCAATTTCTACCCCCATGGTCCTCAAGAGTTATTTCTAGTTCCTTATAATGTAAACTCTTCACTGCTGTTTAGCAAGACAAACCTTGGATCAGTTTTTTTTTCAAAAAGTAGAAAAAATGTGGTATGGGCCGCTTTGGCACTCAGCAAAAGGAAAGGCTAAATTAAAACTTAAATAAGTTATCACAAAGTAGCTGTTTCTATCTCTGGACGGTGTTGAAACATCTTTCGATGACTATAATAACTCCTCTAACAACCAGGATTTTTTTTAGCAACACAAAATTTTGACCCCATTTTTCTCTAAAACTAGTAAATGTGGTTTGACCCACTTTGGCACTAACCCCCTCAAATAATCAATGAATTACGGCAGCACTAGTTCTTACAAGTATACACTGTGTGTTACAGAGCGGTAGGACCACTCTTCAGCTGGGTGAAGGTCTCAGCACCCAGAAGGCCACTTTGATCGTGGTTCACACTGACGGCAGCATCGTAGAAGCTGCAGGCCTAAAGTCTGCTGCCACCATTGCATCAGGTCTGTCTGTCTGTCTGTCTGTCTGTCTGTCTGTCTGTCTTACTGAGGTGTCCATGTGGAATCATGTTGTTAAGAAAATCACGACAACCTGAGCTTGACAGGTGTGGATGTGTTTGTGTTCTCCTGTGCGTCCTTCAGGCCCACAGACTCCACCCACTCCGCTGACTCCTCCTCAGGACAAGGACTCCTGCTCTAAGTACAACTGGGACCCGTCAGTCTACAACAACGAGCTGCCGGTGCGCTGCCGGAACACCAGTGGAGTCCTGTTCAAGAACCGACTGGGATCAGGTGACTAGCACAGCTGCACTGAGTTTCACCCCTCAAACTGAACTCTGGAGTAGTTTTTAAGTTGTTTTTTTTTTCTTTTTTTAATCACTGGATGCTTGATGTAAGCCATATTCTTCCCATCTGTTGTCTCACTGTTAATATGAACGAATACAGGCATGCTGATGAAAAAAAAAGGCCTGTTTTTTTTAGCTCATTGTCACAGTACCGTGGTGTTACAACACCTTGATTACACATTTAATAGAACACTATTGTCATTGGAGGGTTTTGGAAGAAAAAAATTTTTTTTGTACCATTCATGTGTCAGATTATTTAAAAGCAGAACTGGAATGTAAGAATAGTGATGCTCTGTGGTGAGGAGGCAAAAATCAAATTTTTCCACCCCTACTAATTCACACTGGTTCTGTTACACTGTGTTTGTGGGTAATTTGCCCTGTCGCTGCCCACACTGACAGTGTTCCGTTTTGTTTAGGGGGTAAGGGTCGCTGCATCAAACACAACCAGCAGTGGTTCACTCCCACTGAGTTTGAAGGTCTAGCAGGAAGAGCGAGCAGCAAAGACTGGAAGAGGAGCATCAGATATGCTGGCAGGCCTCTGCTCTGTCTCATACAGGTACTGAACTATACTACCACACTGTACTACGACTGCAGTACTGCACTGTATGTTGCTATAGAAAGGACCTTGCATTTCTAATTTGCATGCAGGCCAGCTGATTCTGAATAAAAAAAAAAAAAAGCTGTGTATGTGTGTTGTTAGGAGCGTATCCTGAACCCCCACGCTGCCTCCTGTACCTGTGCAGCCTGCTGTGACGACCTGACAACGGTGAGTGAGCAGGACTGGGCCTGGACAGCCTGCAGGATCAGAGACCAGCTTAGATCTGTGAGAAAATTCATGGAAAATGATCAGTCTAACCAGTTAGTTCGGCTGCTTTTTGTTTGACTGGAAAGGTGAAAATAGTTTTGGGCAGCTTGTGATAATTCAGACTGCTTTTAGTACATTTTGGATAGCAGATCTCTGTTTGTGTTGGTCTCTGTCTTATTCTCTGTCTTTCTCTTCAGTGTCCAAAGGAGGGAGACACTCTGCCAACAGAAAGCATCAGTATGGTAACTTCAGTTTTTTTTCTGTTGCTATAACTTCATCACCACCTGCTTTTGCTCTGTCATCTGTGTCTGGATACATTGTCATTCTTGATTTTTCAATCTGTGCTGTAATGGAATCCCATTATGCATATTAGGGGGTGTGGTTTTTCAACAAACAAGGCTGCTACTAGTCCATAATGCCTTCTTCTAGTCGCCAGTTCAAATACAGAAGATGCTTGGTCTTGCTTGAATGGAAGAGCTGCGCTTTAAAGAGTTTTTGTTGAAAAAAGCCTTTTTGGTACAAAATGAAGTACAGTCAGAAAAGACCTATTTACTTGATCTATGTTGTAGATTTTATTTACATTTAAATTAATAGAATGGACATTTTTCAAATCAATCTACACTCTCTGATCCATAATGACAAATATATAAACAGGTTTTTCAATTTTTTTTTTTTTTTTTACAGATTTCTTAAAAATCAACAATTGAGATGTTTTATTTACAGAAGGATTCAGACTCTTAATTCAGTATTTCAATAAAGTCCCTTTTGTAGCAATTGCACCTTTGAGTCTTCTTGGGGAAGTCGCTGCAAGCTTTATCCCATTCTTCCTCGCAGATCCTCTTAATCTCCCTCAGGTTGGATGGGAAGCATCTGAACTGCCATCTTCAGGTGAACACAGATGTTGTGTTGGATTTAAGTCTGGGCTTTGGCTCGGTCATTTCAGGACTGTCAGACTTATCCTGAAGCCACTCCAGTGTTGTCCTGACTGTTGAGCATTGAGAATCAGAGCATATTTTTCCTCATGCTGTCAGAATTCTAATTAACGAAGAATGAAATGCAGGTTGGAAAACTCCAAGCAGAATTTATTGTGTTTGTAACTCAGGGACACTTCCATCTAGCTGCCATGCCCTAAAGGTCTTCTGTGGTTGTCCTTTCAGCAGATTCTTTACCCTCTGCAAAGGTCTTCTGAAGCTCTGTTAGAGTGATGGTTGTGTTCTTGGTAACCTTCCTGACCTTCTAGGCCCTGCTAATGTTTTTTTTTAACTTTATCATTATGGGTTGCTGGCTGTAGATGAAATGGCAAAACAAGTATTTTTTTTTATTTAAGATTAAATCAGCTAAACAATTTCAAACACTACTTATTTCTGTTTGTCAGTATCATTTCATTTTCTCTGATTTAAAACATTGTTACTGTTGTTGGATGTTGTGTTGATATCATCTGTCTCCTCTGTGCTCGATTCAGACCGGTCCAGTTCGCCTCTTCGTCCCATATAAGAGACGAAAGAAGGACAGCGACCCTCCAATCATTCCTGCCAAAAAGGAGCTTTCCTCCCCCAAAAATATAACGCTGACACCAGGAACCGCATGTAAGTCACATGACCTTAGTCTGACGTGTGATTGGAGAAGGGGTGGAGCCTCTGTTACACAAAAGCAGAAACAAATAGATCCGTTTGTAGTTTAGGATAAGCAGGTTTATGTTTGTTAAGTCTGTTTTTTTCATAAATGTATGCAATCACAGCCACGGTACTTTGTTTTAAATTCTGACTCTGACTAAAAAAATAAATCAATCAATATCCAGTTATTTATATTGCCAGATGTGTTGCTTGTGTTTCTTGAAGGTCATCTAAAAATAGACAGTCATTGAAATGTCAGTGGAAGTTGGTGAAAGTCTTAGAGATCAGATCTGTGATGAGAACATTTAAAACTCATCTTGAAGTGTCTTGACTGTCCAAACATGGCTGACACGTCCTTCTCTTCCAACAGTCACCGTGTCCCCCACAGGACAGTTCACCACTGCCGGCACCTTGACCTTTGACCGCACTCCAACAGGCGACGCTGCCACCGCCATCATCTCAGAGAGCTCAGCACAGAACGAGGTGTTTGCCAGCACCACAGGTACCACTTCTCACTGATATCACTCACTCTGTCTGTCATCTGGGGTTTGTTTGTTGATTTTTTTTTTAATGCATCCTGGTTTCAGACAAGCCCAAAGAGCTGTACCATGAGAGGATATTAGTGGGTTAGTGAGGTATGTTGAGCTTAGCCAGAGTTTTCAGTGTCATGAAGATTGCTCTCTTTTAACATGGATAGATCACCATGATAGTTATTAATTAATAACATTAATTCCACTTTAATTTTGCTAAAGAGTATACTGGCGTCCTGCATTATGGGACAGTGTCAGACCTAAATGCACTTCAATGCAATATCATGTATAAAGATATGAAGTTTAACAGCTCTAATATGCAGCTGTAAGTTACAAAACAGCAGCTGCACTGATCAGTAAAACAAATATATGAACACACATTTAACTTGTTCTCTACCAGCATTCCTGTCTTGCATCATTTGCAGCAGCAGCACTTTTTACCATCATAAATTTGTGTGTTACTTGTAGCTCTCCAATAAAACAACCTGTTGACTGAAGTATTGTCACAGAATGCAGCAACCTGAAGAAAATACTTTACTCTGCCCAGTGTGTGTCATAGGCCCACCAGTGTATCCTTATCAACTGTACCCTGGTGAGTCTTTAGGAATTAATGTTTGGTAGCTGTAAATTAATATTTTTCATTTTATAGGCAATTATGGAGTTATTTGTTGTTTGTTTCAGATGTATTTTATCAGATGGGTGTAACAAATTTGAAACAATGTTTGTTTGGTTAGAACCAGGACCATGTTGGGATTGTCTGGTGTGTAACTGGAGCAGCTGGACACCAAGGCTCTGTCTGACCAGAACAGTTCTTATATGTGGCTGTGTTTAATCTTAAGTCTTGTTTGTCTGGCCAACAGTCCATCACCCAAAGAAAATCAGTTTAAAATAACTTCAACTGATGAAGGCCCCTGACAACTGAGAATGTTTCCAGGTTATGATTAACAGGTAATTGAAGGGATAGTAATATCTCCATGGGCTGCTCGGTGGTTAGCACCGTTGCCTCGCAGCGGTATGTGTCCTGGTTAGGACGCCTGGGATCTTTCTGCGTGGAGTTTGCATGTTCTCCCCGTGCAGCGTGGGTTCTCTCCGGGTTCTCCGGCTTCTTCCCACAGTCCAAAAACATGTTGAGGTTAATTGGTGATTCTAAATTGTCCGTAGGTGTGAATGTGAGTGTGCTTGTTTGTCTGTCTCTAAGTGTGGCCCTGCGATGGACTGGCGACCTGTCCAGGGTGTCCTCTGCCTTCGCTCTAAAGTCGGCTGGGATAGGCTCCAGCCCCCCCGCGACCCTAATGAGGATTAAGCGGTGTATAGAAAATGGATGGATGGTAATATTTGTCTGTCTGTCTTTGGTGCAGACGAAAATACTTCAAAAACCACTAACTGCACCAAAACTTGGCTCCAACATTGTTCTTGCTTGTCACTCCATCCAGTAGAACAGATTGCTAATGTTATATGGTTATCAACTGTGTGACTCTGGCAGTACAATACATGTAATGCATAATACGATGGAGTAGAGTTTGACTTTGGTGTCTTTTTCCTCTGAACTTGAATCCGTCAGGGATGTTTAATGTGTCCCCCGCTTTAACGCTCTGTGGTGGGGTTTTCCCACAATCCCCTGCATCACCCTCCAACCTGCAGCCTATCCATCAACCTATCAGGGACTGGGAAAGCACCACCGCCGCTTTCTGGTTGGCCGTCGTGTTGCTATAATGAGCTCTCAGGAGATGGCGTCTCTGTGGGTGTGTCTGTCAGCGTGTACTGTGTGACTAATGAGGCGCTACGACTGTTCGCTGTCCTGATTTCTCAGCCTGAACGTTTTCTCTTCCACACCTCCTCTCTCCTGCTTTCGGTGAATGCAAATCGGTTAATACTGAACTGACCCGCTACATTTGAGTTACTATTAAAATATCTGTAAATATAATAGAAGAGAAGGTCACTATTTGGACCTTTAACCATCACTGTGATTGCTCTGATTGGACAGCTCGGCAACACACGCAGACTCAGCAGCGGTCCAGCTGTCAGGATAGACTCTTTGTCCTTCACCCTGAGGTTAATGAAGCACCCTGGGCATCGGTGCCATGTGCCTCACATGAAGAGATGAAAGAGCCCAGTGTATCAGTTTAAACCACAGAAACGGGTTAAATGCAGGGATAATGCTGTCAAAATGAGCAGTCGGGCAGCGCACTGGTTTTCCTTCAAACTGAGTTTAGATGAAGAGAAAATGAATGCTGAAATTGTTGTTTTATTTGTTTTCATTTCTCCAGAAGAACAGTAGGGGGCAGTGAGTCTCTGCTGTTGCAGAACAACCACACCATAAAGAATTAAAACCAGTTGACAGGGTGTTTTGACAGATGAGATGCTTTAAGTCAGGTCAGATCTTCAATCATCAGAGGGATATAAAGAGAAACTGACAGATTCACCTGGTAAAACTTCTCATGTAGCTGCAGTTTTATTGTTAGAATACTTGTAACTCACAATCACAGCTGAAACCTTTAGTCCTGTATCCAGCTACATATGAACATCTGGCGTACTTTCTGCAAACAAAAGATTGTTATGTGACGGATGAAAGCATATTTTGATGACTCAGTTTCAGTTAAAATGATCCCTTTTTTACTTTATTATATTCACTGATGTGATGTGTTTTGTCCAGTATTGCCAAGCTGCTCTCTTTTGTGACGACCACCCTTGATGAGTGTCAGCCATGACTATTTATTAAAGATGGACTCATCCTCCGTGTCTCTGGAACCAGGACGACTTCTGTAGTTCCAAAAAGAAGTAAAGTAGATGATAAAGCAGGAAATGTTTTAGGGCTGGCGAGCCTGTGATTGACAAGTCACTACAGTTTCCTCGAGTTAGACCACTCACTTGTGACGTTTGGTTCAAAGAGAACGAGGCGGTGACGGCAAAATTCCAAACTCAAGGGGGACGAGAACCAGTCTGTACTTAAGGGCGAGAAAATCCCACAAACTCTACAAGAAAGGCAAGAAAGCCTTTGTTTAGCCTTAGAGACAGACTCCCACACCAAAAAAATGCGTTTAAAAATTACATCTCAAGGCTACTAAGATGACTCCATCAACATTTTGAGCAGTTCCTGTTTCTTTGGAACTACATTATGGCAGCAGGACAGTGGTGAGGGACCAGCTATATCTCACTTTATTGTATTTATCATAATCCTACCAAATGGCATGACTCCTGTTTATCAATAGTCACACAGCAGCTTGTGGGTAGAAAATTACTGGACAAATTTCCGTCAGATTAGAAGAGTCCAGTAAGATGTTCAAGTGTTAAAACATACCTCCATTTACACCTTTTTCCCTGGACATGCTAAATGGAAGTCTAAGATGGATGTCTGGTTATTTTTGGACTCGTCTGTTCTTGTTGGAGCTGTGAGCTGTCAGGCGCTCCGCCGCCGCAGGTATAAAAAACAGACGTTATGTCGTGTATGTAGGTCAGGAGCGAATGTATGGAGGACACACAGACATACTGACCTGGATGTGCTTTGTTTGATTCAACACTCGTCTGTACAACTGTAGAAGCTCCGTTTCAAGTGGCAAAAATAGAAATGTGTGATTTTTAGACCAGATTTCTCTGGTGAGGATTTTCTTTTTTCTTTTCTTTTCTTTTCTTTTCTTTTCTTTTCTTTTCTTTTCTTTTCTTTTCTTTTCTTTTCTTTTCTTTTCTTTTCTTTCTTTCTTTGTTTATATAATTGTAAAATGATTATCTTTATGTTTTTGATAAAACAAGACATTTGAAACTTTACATTGCAAACAATTCAAACATAATTATGTGCATGTTTGTTGTTTGAGTTATTTTACAAGACAACGTGAGCATGTACTTTTTGTATTTGTTGACGTTGCTACATTTTTGTTTCAGTACAAACAGCTGTATTCATCAGCTAATGACACAGTTGTGCTTCGAGGGGAGAATAGTATTGTCTTGTGTCATCTATGTCATTGTTACTTTCTTTTGTCTGTCCATTGTCTTGCACCATTTTTCAACGTAAGCATGATTGAATAGAATCAAAAGTTTTGATGAAGTCTTATGCTGTTTCATTATGTGTAATCCATTTTGTTCTTCTGTGCCTCACTGAGAAACTGTGAGCTGAATTAAAGGAGCAATCTGATAGATTCAAGCCATTTTCAGACATGGAACGTGTAACATTGCTCAGCACAGCACTCTTTGCTAGTCACATGATTCCTCATAAAAATAATTAAGATATTTTTCTACCCCGTAGAAAATAGAGAAAAGTCTTTGAATAACTAGGTAAGTCTGAACTTTTGAGCAGTACTGTGTATATATATGTACTTGTAAAAGTATACTCACTCTGTGAACTGTTGTTGGATAAAGAAACAAGATAAAAGTAACAGATCAATAGACAGAAATTAATCAGCAACAGTTCTCATAGATGTCATTTTAGGAACATTTGAAGCAAAAACACAGGCTTTGTTTCTTTCCAATGAAATTAAATATTTTTCTGTTTTGGACTGTTACCTGGACTAAAACAGACATTTAAATTGGTGAACTTGTGCTCTGCTAAGCTGTCAAAGGCATTTCTTTTGTAAAATATGTGATATTTAACGACCAAACAATCGAAGAAGTCACTGGTAGACTAATCAGTAGTGATATAATTGGTTGTAACCTTCGTGGTGTAGTGTGTTACAGTATAGCTGTCCAGCAGGTACAGCATTGTGGTCTTGAGTTAGCGGCCATGTAGTGACAGCGTCCAGTGTTTGAATAAGACCTGCACACGATCCCCTCATTTCCTGTTGGTTTTGTTACATTCTCTTTCTATTAAATGCAAAAAAATTAAAAGTACTAAACTAATCCTTTTATGTGTTTTTTTTCTTTCCCTCTCTCAGTGTTGACAGCGTTGCCAGCGCTGGCCATGACTCCTCAACCGGTTCAGGCCAAAGTCACAGTAGCAGCAGCGGTGGCTTCTCCCCCCTCGGCACTGGTCACTGGGCTGGAGGTGGGGCCTGTTGGGGGTGTGGGGCCAACGGTGAGCGAGGGACAGAAGAACACTTGGCTGTACCTGGAGGAGCTGGCCAACACGCTGCTCAGCAACGTCCAGCAGCTGAAGGTTCTCATTGAACAGGCCAAAAACTCCACAGGGGACGCTGCAGGGGTCAAAGGTCAGGGAGGCAGGAAGGAGGTGAGAACACAAATGCACACAGGCTGAGATTTAACTCAGCAGTGAGCAGAAAATGATTGATTGCACCTGACAGTAATAACTAACAGTGATAGAAAGATAGTGAGTAACTTTAATATTTGTGTGTGTGTGTGTGTGTTTAGTGTGGTCTTAGTCAGTCGTTTCAGAACCAGATCTCATTCCAGCAGCCGGACGACTCAGATGCCAAGAGGAGCTCAGACATCACAGAGATCATTATTAACGTACGTATTGACACACATGCACACATTTTTTTTTTCACAGTTTGCAAACCTAGTAGAAATACTTCAACCTGAGATTGTGACTGTCAGTTCCCAGTGTGTGTTCATCTCTAAAAACATGTAATCCTGTTTCTCAAAATCCAGTTGAATGTTTTGTTTGTTTTTGTTTTTTCTAACATACCAAATGTGCTTGAGGTAATTTAGGAATGGTGTTATCACATAATTTGCCCAGAAGAGCATGCAGCGCATGTAGCAGAGTACACATCACAGCTGAGTATACCGGTGTGGAGTCAAGCAGTGTCTTCACAGGGTGTTGCCAGCTAGTTTGTCAAATATCTTACTATTTTACCGTAATGTTCTAATATGCATATATACATATTGGACAAACAGTATCTGTATATGTGTAAAGGTGACTAGCTGATCAAAAATCCAATGTCCGTTGGGTTTTAAAGCTCGTTACAGTGGAAAAGGACCTTTTAAGTTCAGCAGGTCCAAAATTCTCCACTGGAAAGTTTCCCAGGAAATGATCAGCACAATTTCAATTCCAAGCACTGACATATTTAAAAATAGCTCTTGTTACCTGTTTTCTTCTCTCGTGTCCTCACGTGGTCTCCTGCTTTGGCTCTGCAGCAGATGTGTGTGAATTGCGGTCGGGTGGCGATGAGTGAGTGTACAGGCTGTCACAAAGTCAACTACTGCTCAACCTTCTGTCAGAGGAAGGTAAGATTCACCTGAGCAAGCCTCTGCAGTGTGTGTGTGTGTGTGTTTTAATTTAATATTTATTTCAGCCTCATCTCTTATTCAGCAGTGTCCTCACCAAGATAGGCATCCGTAACCCTAAGTCAGAGACAAACAGAAAGTACAAAACATACCACAATCAGATACTGATCTCAGATCAGATCAATCAGATACCATCCCAGATTATTATTTTTAAAACAATCTGTCAGACATTAATTGGCTCATCAAACTCACATTAAAAAAAGGATGGAAATGTGGTCAAATTATGTAAATTAATTCATTTAGCTGTATTGTTTAGCAGGAAGATAATATTGTTAGATGAAACCACAAGACTTTTATACTCTGGATTTTTAAACAGCAAGAAAAGACAAGTGATGCAGTATTATTTGAGCAAAAACACCTCTACACTTCCTGTTATTCATTTCATCCAGTTCTTTGGCTTAAACATAAGGGTAAAAGAATGTCGCTCACTATAATAACATTATTAAGCTGGTGTAACTAACTTTACAACAAATGTAGCAGCTGACTCTAATGTTCTGGACAAAAATAAGTTACATGGACAGTTTTAACTAAAATCAGTCTGCGTTAGCTGCCAGGATCGGCAAAATTCCTGAACTCACTAAATCTTTATGAGTCACTGATGTGGGTGTTTCAATAAAATGTGAAAATATGTTTCACGTGGGTGTTAAATCATTTGGGATCAAAAAATGTCCTCAGAGCTCTGACCTACTTAGTAGCAGTGAGTGATTGTAAAGGTCTATGAGGTCTTTGGTATTAATGAAAGAAATTTAAACATCTACCATTGCTGTGAATCTGGAACTAACAAAAAGCTCAACAATATCTGTTGTTTTTTTAAAGAGTCATCAGATGCTTATACTTGGTTTCAATTTGAAGAAGTCAGTATGGAATGTTTTGCACCACAATTAGAAGCTGTACAGGGCAAAGTAATTATGTTTGTTGTAAATCTAATTACTGGTGAAGTACAGTCATGGAAAAAAACGTATTTGGATGAGTAAATATCTGATCCTCTTTGAATCAGGACCAACGATGAAGGTTATATACTTGAACACTACCACAAGGATAAACTGCTTTTAAAAAATGTATATTTGTACAAAAAAACTATGAAGAGATTTAATGTTCTCCTGTGGAAAAAGCTGGTATTGTCCACCTTAGCAGAAATTAACTTCTTGCCATCCTCCACTAGCCTTTGATATTGGCTTGCTAAGATTTTTGAACACTCTTCCTTGTAAAATATAGTGAGCTTTTAACATTGCTTCATCTGTAGAAAAAAACATGTAGGAAAACAAACTAGCTTTAAAGAAACAGAATCACACATCAGTTTGTTTTCATCTGCAGGACTGGAAGGACCATCAACACACCTGCTGTCAGTCAGCAGGGGGCGTGACTGTTCAGGAGGACGAGCCAATCACAGCCATCGACATGGACAAAGTGAAGTGAAGGTGCAGGAGGCTGTGTGAAGGCACTTGTTCAGTCAGGACATCACGTCCACAGCTGCTGCAGACAAGAAGACCTTAAGTGGCGAAAAGTGGAGAGTTTTCTACACACACCTTACCTCCTCACTGGAACTTTTATTGTGAAATGTTTCCCTTAGACCGACAGAAGAAGGTCTCTGATCACCTGAGAGCTGATGTTGTGCCAAAATTGCACTGACTTTGTATTTGAAGATGTCAGGGGTTTCACCACTAACTTCAATACACTTTTTTATCACAGCAGCATCTAGTGGACTTTAGAAGAACTGTATCTTGAAATTTCTGGATACAGAAATGGAGATGATCTCAACAAACAGTTGAACAACAGTTTGACGGTTTGAAATATCACATGTGTAAATCACATAGTGACTGCTATTTTATTATCAATTAATCTTGATATTACTTAATTTATTACATGAATTCATCAGTTACCATAATGCTGTTTAATATTTTGTGTCTTCCCCAAAGACTCTTATCTGGCTGCTGGTTTGTTGCCGTTTTACCGATTAATAAAGAGATTTAACTGTCCAGATCACATGATGGAAAAAGTCTTGAACCAGGCAACTAGGCAGAATGACTGTCCTGGGTGCTTTCTGAGGTTTTTCTTATGGTAAAAAATACATAAATCTGAGAATTTGTATTTTATTACACTTGAAAATGTAATAAATATACCCTTGTAATTTTAAATTGATGAAAGTGGTTTCTTTTTGTATGAATTTAGACTCAACAACGATGTGAAGGGAAAACATGATCATTTACACAAACTTGTGTTTATAGAGTATTCACACTGTGTGTCAGGATAAAACCAAGCTCTGAGGTCCAAGGAACTCTCTGTAGACCTCTGTTAAAAATGCAGCATAGATTAGGGTGAGGGTATAAAGCCATTTCTAAAGCTCTGAGTGTTCCCAGTGGCCTCAATAACTGATAGAAGTGTAAAACCATAAGGACTCTAAATAGAGTTGGCTGTTCGGTCAAACTTATTAACCAAGTAAGAAGGGCCCTGGGGTCTGTTTCACAAAGCAGGTTCAACAAACTCTGAGTCTAATCCTGAACTCTGCGTTCATCTACTCTGACATAGGAAACTCTTGAGTTTCCAGTTCCACAACAGCAGATTTGAGTTAGTTTAATCAACTCGGAGTACTTTGACCTGGAGTTAAGTGCCTGCGCCACAACTATAAAAAGCCAGCATCAATGGAGCCCCGATTCGACGAGTCACCATGACAACGGGAAGCGGAGGGCTGCGTATTTCACTCCACTAGAATTAGAAATCTTAATGTGCTAACACGGCAAGTTTGAACACGTTTATTTAAAAAAAAAAAATTATTATTTTTAAGTGCAACACCGCTGCAGCTGCAAAACAGAGGAAGACGCGTGGATAACACTGCTGCTCGGGTCAATGCGTAAATTTAAATGTCTCGTTTCGGGGTTAACAGACTCAGAGTTTTCATGAAACCTGCTTTGTGAAACGGCCCCTGGGCTCTGTACTAGGAAGCAGGATTTGGGGTCAGCGAGGTAACTTCAGGTTAAATCCTGGGTTTTCAGTCCTACGAAGCTGGTTCACTTCTTACTGGGATACGTCACCATGGTAACTTACGCTGAACGGCTAACCTGCTCTTGCGTGTCAATATAAATTGCTGGTGTGGCAGCCCTGGGCAGGTTTCAAATTTCAAACCTTCCAAGTATGAGCCATTTGCACTAACCACGTTGCCAAAGAGGGCTGCAAGGTGGCGCAGTTGGCTAGCACTGTTGCCTCGCAGCAAGAAGGTTGCCGGTTCGCATCCTGGTTGGGGCACCAGAATCTTCTGCCTTCGCCCTAAGTCGGCTGGGATAGGCTCCAGCCCCCCTGCAACCCTAGTGAGGATTAAGCGGTGTGTAGATAATGGATGGATGCACATTGCCAAAGAGCCAGGCCAGGTGTATTATCACTTGGAGGCATTTCTGGTGGCAGGAACTGTCACACTAGTTTGAATTTTATTTTGGTGACCTCCCGAAGACAGCTTAGCTCACAGCAATAGAATATGTCAACAGCTAGCAAGCTAATAGTATTGAAAATATTCCCCTTTCTGACAAGTAATGTACTTATTCTCAAGGTAACTTACACCTGATCCATTATTATATACAGTTGTCTTTCACGTCATCAAATGTCTTGTTAGGTAGGATTAGAATAATTATAAAACACGACTTATAGATATAAGATGTGCAAAGGGAGCTGTGATGATCTGTGAAATGTGTGGCAGGTGAATAGCTGTCCACAGTAAACACTTTCCTAATTGCAAACATATAAAAATTTCAAATGGTTCCACCAAATACCATAGTAAATTCATGTGGGTCATTTCTGACCCATGCGTGTAAACTTGATGAAGACATACAAAAGCAATGCTAGCTCATAAAGTAAGAACGGAAAAATAAATATGGTGATCTGAGGTAAACAAAAAAATAAAAGAATATTTAATGAATACTTGAAATAGTAAATGATAAAACACATTAATTTCAAAGATATAGCTTAGAAACACTCAGCCATTCATAAAATAACATAGTAAATAAATGTGGGTCGTTTTGGACCCATGTTGTAATAGTAATACAAAAGGTGCTTTTACTCAAAAAGTAGTAAATGAAAAAATGAATGAAGGATGTATTATGATCAAAAACAAGTTAATTGAGGAGTACCTGGAATACTGAATGATAAAATTAATTTATTGCTAAGATACAGTACATAAAAACTCTGTTGGCTCCGTTTGGACCCATGTTGTGCATCAAAGGGTTAAGAGTGAGCTCCACTGAAACAACAAACAAAACCACACTATACTCCCAACATACCTACCAAAATATAAGGAGCAAAATTAAATACAAAATCTAGCCTTCCTCTCTAAATTAAACAGGAGAAAACATAGTTTAAACACAAAAGTAGCACCTCGCTCTATTCATACGACTAATAATAATAATAATAATAATAGATTTACTATGATGAACATCGTCTGTGTGTGCCGGTTGGGATCAAGTGAAGGATGGCCCCGCCATCTCATCCTATCTGCACTTCCCTCGATGTCCTCCTTTTGCATTAAGTACCGGAACTTCCATTGGTCGGCCAATCTGGTCCTCGCTACGGCGCAGCCCTATTTACAAATGAAATAGGCACACAGCGGATAACACACAGATCAAAGGAAAAACAACATATTATATACAAACATGACCGCAGTCGTAACAGTAGTACTGTATTTATATTTTCACTGAGTGTTACAGGTGGGCATATGAGTTGGTTTCAAATATATGCAAACTTGTTCCAGCCATTGACAGAAGCAGTGCTTCTCTGACGGTTAGATGCTGCAGCCGGGAGCAAAAGTTTACATGTATGGTGACGAGTCTGATGACACAAAAACTCAACTCTTTGGGTAGATCTCCAAGCATTACGTCTGGAGAACACCAGGTATTACTCTTCATATGTTAAAACCATCTCTGCAGTGACGCGCGGTGGTGGCAGCATCAAGCCATGGGGGGACTGCTGAGCACTGGGGACAGGGAGATTGGTCAGGACTGAATGATACAGCCAAATACAGAGAAGTCTTTGAAGATAACTTGCTCCAGAGTACAGCAGCCTGAGATGTGGGCAATGGTTCAGTTTCCGGCATGACAATGACCTGGAGCAAAAAAGCCAAGACAGCTGCTATAGCTCACCTGGTTGAGCTGGCGTCCCATGTTCAGGGGCTATAATCCCCGATGCAGAGGTCATGGGTTCAAGTCCTGCTCATGATCCTTTCCTGCAGGTCCTTCCGCCATTCTTCTCCCCCACCTTCCTGTCTCTCTCTCAACTGTACTATCAAATGAAGGCTAAAAGCCAAAAAATAGTAATACAAAAAAATAAAACAAGTCTCTGACTGTCCTTGAGTGACCAGGTTCACAGACACTTCCCATCGAATTTGATAGAGCCTAAGGGGATCTGCCTGGAAGACTAAACTACCAAAATCTCAATGTGTAAAGCTTGTAGAGACTTATCTGTGAGGACTCAATGCTCCAACTGCTGTCAATCTGGTCTAAAAACTTCTATGAGTGTGAAATTTCAGAGTTCAGAGGAGACTTTCATTTAGTTTTGTGCTTTAATACCGATTTAAACTGGTAGTTTGTTCTTATCCAACTGGAGTCTCAGAAAGAAAACACCATCCTCTTTCCTCCTGCGGAATTCCACATCTGTGTGATCTTTTTTACATTTAACTTTCATTTTCTGTGTTCTGTGGTGGAAGACGCTTGTTTTTTGTATTTCTTACAGCTGTCAGGTAGTCAGTTAGAGTGACTCCTGATGAATCATTTCAGACATTATGACATTTGGTTCTGCTGTGTCTCAGTCCCAGTGGCACTCAGGTGTCTGCTGCTGCTCACAGACAAGGAAAGGGACCCCCAGGACCAGACATTTCCTACACTTGCAGCCAGGTCACCTAAAGTGTATAAGTAAAAACTTTTAACAAATGAAACAATATTTTTTCTTCTTTAACATCTCACAAGTTGGTTTTACTGACAGAAATACGACAACTTTCTTTGATATCTGCAGGGAAGGGGGCAGGTTCAGAAGTTTGAAAAAGGATCCTTGCTGTCAGCCTGTTCCCTTTTGACTGATGAAATCTTCCGAGACGCTTTTAAGGCTTCACGTCTCTTTGTTGTCTGACTTCACTTCTTCAAACTTTACTGTCCTTCAGATGACTTTGTGGTACCTCAGATTCTACAGTCTGGACAGACACAATTTACAGGGCAGATTGACATTAGCTGAAGATGTGATTTTGCTGACCTCTAGCAGTTAAACATCTCACTTTCCTGCAGTGGTGTAGAAGATTACTTTGGGGGGTGTTAGCAGACTGTGACGTCAGTTTTGTGGGTGGTTAGAGGGAGACTAATTGATTAAATAGAATTTTGTTTTTGCACAATTTGAAAAAGACTAAACTGTGAAATCAAGATCGTCTTCTGAAGTAAAGACATTCACCGACTGTACATTTTCTTAATTTTTTTGCTAGTATGATGACACAACGAAAACTAGCTTTTGCATATATATCCATCCATCCATTATCTATACACTGCTTAATCCTCACTAGGGTCGTGGGGGGGCTGGAGCCTATCCCAGCCGACTTAGGGCGAAGGCAGGGGACACCCTGGACAGGTCGCCAGTCTATCGCAGGGCCACACTTAGAGACAGACAACCAAGCACACTCACATTCACACCTACGGACAATTTAGAATCACCAATTAACCTCAACATGTTTTTGGACTGTGGGAGGAAGTCGGAGAACCCAGAGAGAACCAACGCTGCTCGGGGAGAACATGGAGACTCCAGGCAGAAAGATCCCGGGCATCCTAACTGGGACGCAAACCGGGGATCTTCTAGCTGTGTGGCCCTGTGATAGACTGGTGACCTGTCCAGGGTGTCCCCTGCCTTTACCCTAAGTCAGCTGGGATAGACTCCAGCCCTGTGCAACCCTAGTGAAGATTAAGCGGTGTGTAGATATATAAAATAGATGTACAAAAAGGGTTACTATCTAGCACATTTTACTACCGTTTTCATATTTCCATTGGGTGATACAGGTGGGCCACCAAATGTGTTGGAAATTTATGCAAACTTGTTCCAACTGCTAACACAGAAGCTCTGAGGGTTACACGTTATCTCGAGTCCCAAATTTTATATCAACACCCAAGAAATACTTGCAACAGCTGTTATTTTATAAAATGATAACAGCCTTGTGTAGTTACAAGGAAAATGTATTCAATGATAATTAAATAATGAATAATAAAACTAATTTTGATCTAAGCAAGGTAACTAATGTTTAGTCTATATTTAGAGAAAAAAAAAATACAAAGTGTCAATCTTTCTAAACACCTGCTGTTAAATGGCTTATTTGAAATTACACATCAGTATGTTTATTTCATACTTGTAATTGAATGTGGTAGTAACTCATAAATTTCTTGCCTGCCTGCAGAGAAAATTTCCCTCAGAGGACAATAAAGTTAAGTTAAGTAAGTTAAGTGAAGTTAAGACATCATCTAAACTCTACAGGCGATATGAAAGACTGAAACAAGTATCTGCAGCCCACAGACATGTAGTTGTTGCTAAAACACTACTTTTCTGCGGGACTCCACTTTGAACACTCAGCTACCCACGTACCCTGTAGGTCATCTCTATGTATTCTGTGCATACACCCTACTGCCCATTATGTGCTCTATTGCTCTGGTAGCCTTTGTTGCCATGTAGACACATATTGAAGTGCATGAGGACTCGGGTAGATGTAATTTATGTTACACTTACCCTTGCTTACCGTTGCAGACCTTTATGTACTTGTGGACATGGAAAGTATAAGACTTTCTTTCAGGCCAGTTGTCATGCCTGCAAGGGTTCACAGGACGTAGAGTTTACTATCCACCCAAGTCTTCCCAGCAAACGTCCACATGCTGCCCAAAATTTGTGACTGCCTGGACTGTTCAAAATGCAAGCTGGCTAACTGCACATGCACCAGATAAACAAATTCTTGTTTTGAGGAGAGACTGTACGAAGACACCCTTTTACATCATTAATAGATTTATAACTGAGGTAGTCACTGTTGGACTTCATTTATACGTGCTTTCCATCAACAGCGCCCACAGAGTGGGAAGTTCAATATTCTCCTGAAATCCTGTGCTGTATCCGTCCACTGTACTCCACACACCTCAGGAATAATCTCTGACATGGGGCTGCGGCCCAGTCTGTAACCAAATGCTATGCCCTGTAAAAAGTGCAAAGTCACAGCCTTTCAGAAACCTTCCTGGAAGCCCTGTGTGTTTGTATATATTTGTTATGAGGGCCAATGCAACTGTGTGGCAGACGCATACCTATTGTAGTATGAATAGAACTACGCGTGTTTCCACTGTCCACTTTCAAAGTCTGCATCGGTCATGTGGAAACCATGAATTGGCCTTTAATCTGTAGTATAGACACTGACCATGGTATAGGGTGGATCTCCAGACATAGAAGTGCATTCACCATCACTCAGTTTGAAAAGTGCAGCTGAACACATTTAAACACAGTGAAATGGGGAGAGTGGAGACATCAGGCTGGGAAGGTAGTCTGAAATTAGGATTTGGATAAAAAATAAGATTACTGCAGCACATCTGAACCCTCAGTGTATGTACAGGCAGTGTGCAGAGTAGACAATCAAACCCGGCAGGAGTTAAATGGTAGTTCATGATTAAACTCACAACATTCATAAGTGCTTGCTTTGTAATCAGTATAAATGCATTGGTTACTAAAAATTGCAAACATTTTTGTCAGGTAAGATAGTGCCAGGGCTGCAAGGTGGACCAGTGGTTAGCACCGTTGACTCGCCGGTTGGCGTCCCAGTGAGGACATCCTGGATCTTTCTGCGTGGAGTTTGCATGTTCTCCCCGTGTAGCGTGGGTTCTCTCCAGGTTCTCCAGCTTCCTCCCACAAGGTCCAAAAAACATGCTGAGGTTAATTGGTGATTCTAAATTGTCCATAGGTGTGAATGTGTGTGTGCTTGTTTGTCTGTCTCTATGTGTGGCCCTGTGATAGACTGGTGACCTGTCCAGGGCGTCCCCTTGCCCTCGGTCAGCTGGGATAGGCTCCAGCCCCCCCGCGACTCTAGTGAGGATTAAGTTATGTATAAATAATGGATGGATGGGTGGAAGATAGTGCCATTCAAGGTCCTTTAAAGGTCCCTCATCAGTATTTGAGCAAAGTACGAAAAATGTAATTGAATGAATAGTTAAATAATATTGGAATGCTAGGTAAGTAAAATTGATTTCATGCAGCAGCTGACAACAGCACAGAAGAGATGCCTTGTTTTTTTGAAGTAAAATTTGTTGAAAAGTTTGGTTGATTATCATCTTAATTCTGTGAAATTTAAGATAAAAACCGAGGTACAGCTTTCCTGGCAGAAGTGATTCATTGCATTCAGTGGAATTTAAAAAGACAGAATTAGGTACCACTGCAGTAAAGGCAATGTTAGCAATATTTTCTCAACATCTGATCATTCAGCTGAGTCTACACTCTGAGACAGAAGACCTCAGCCTTAAAATCTCTTACACATGACATCACTCCACAAACAGATCTTAACAATTTGCATTTTTAATGAAAACTTTGATTTTCAAAAGATGAATTCAACATATAAAATGAGTTCTTGTCTGTTGTGTGGGGTAGAAGTGTTGCAGATTCTCTGAAGTGTTCTTTCCTCAAACTGAAGCTTCTTCACTGGAAACGTGAAGCTTAAACAAAGTTTGCTGTCGTTGCATGTAAAAAAAAAATCTCACACAGAGGAAGTAAATAATGGCAACATACACAGACCTAAGACACTAAATCAACAGCAAGCAGCACCTGTTGCAGCTGTTGTGCATTTAAAAATCATCCATTCAGCAGCCGCGTCCTCTCCAGACGTTCTAGGAGCAGCAGCGGTGCAGGACCTTTTTAAAGTAGTTCCTGAACTCCGTGTTGAAGATGGTGTAGATGACGGGGTTGAGAGCGCTGTTGACGTAGCCGAGCCACGTCACCACGCTCATCAGGGCCGGCGGCACGTGGCAGTCCTGACACCGAGCTCTCATTGTGTGGAGGACGAAGAAGGGAGTCCAGCAGAACAGGAAGGCACCTTCAACAGGAGAACAAGAAGAATCAGAGACTAGAAACAACCAGAAACTCACATTAATATAACCAGCATTTTGGTGGAGATAGTATCACCTCTGTGCAACAAGTACAGACAGAGATATGTCATGTTCAGCAGAAACTAGCACAAGCACCAGAAGCAGCAGGAAGGTGCTAGCCTGGCTCCTTCAAAACAAGAAAAACATCTACCTTGAAATGACATTTGCTGTTTGTGCTAAATAATGAGATTTTGTATTTCTGGGCCGAAGTAGAAGCAGAAAGAGTAGTCGTTTTGATCATCATTATTACCTAAGAAACAATGTACTTATGACTTGATTATACTCGCATGCAGATGCAGGGACAGCTGTGGACTCCAAGGATGTGTCGTTGCTATTATATTGCTTTTCTGTCCTCAGGAGCTTGATTGGAAGACTCCATTCCATACCCTCCATTACTTTGTGTTTAGACGTCCCCTGTCTGCCCTTTGAGTAAAATGCTCATGATGTGTTCGGATTAATAATTTATTTATAATGCTTAGATAAGTAAACTTGACTTCATTAAGTAGCTGATAACAGAACAGAAGAAAATGTCTCATTTTCTGGACTAACATTTGTAGGAAAGTTTGGTAGATTATAACCTTAATTCAGTGGCATTTGATAACTCAAACACAAATGAAGCAATCAGACAGAACCTGCTGGGCAGAGGTAATGGGAAAATGCTTAAAAAGTGATCCTTTGCATGTGTCACAGTGGTTATTATTTTAACTTTTTTATTCTGTGGGAGCTCTCTTAGAGGACTGCTCCATACTAAGTAGGTCATATCCAAGTGTTCTGCGCATACACATTAAATGTACATCACAGAGAGCCTCGTCATATAGAAAGTATAGAATAGAAATAGAATAGAACTTTATTGATCCCTTTGGTGGAAACCTCAGGGAAATTGTTGAAATTGCATAATTAATATATTAATTATATAATAATATATATAATAATAATAATAATAATAGAATTATATATATATATTATATATAATAATAACATATTAATATTAATATATTAATGGTGTAAATTGTATACGACCAGCCTTAATGATCAAACCTACATGCAGTCCATACTGTGTTTTTGGACAGTTACACATTATGTTGTCAGGCTCTGTGCTTCAGTACATTTAATCTGAAATTTAAAAAAAAAAAAAGCTTAATTAAAGTACAAAGTTTTAGCTTTAATTTGAGTAGGTTTGCATCAATATAGAAAGAACTGTGTGGAAGATACATCCTCTTTTACACAAAGTGCCTAAATTACAACATTTCAACAGTAAATGGAAACTACTATGCTGCTACATGTTATTTGAGCAGCTGTGTTTCATTTTATTGTTTAAGAAGAGCTCACATGTCACACACACAGACATAAGCACAGACAATTACAAGCATAAAAGCTGTTTGAGGCTGCACTGAGCTGATACTTCCTTTGCCACAATAAGAATAAAAATAAATAAATAAATAAATAAATGCAGAGGTAGTCCACATCACAAAGGCTTTTTTATCATCCATGTGCCAAGCTCAGGAGCACAGAATTGTCCTTCAGTTGTTTATTCACCAGGCGGATGACCTTGAGACTGAACAGTGCTTTACGTCGGTTGGTTGGCGATGTGGACAGACATAAGTTATGCCAGAAAAACAGCACCTGAAAATGAGGGTGCAGGACAGAGGTGCTGTGCTTCATGATGTTGTGAGCCTTTTTTAATGACCTGCTGCTTTTTGAAAGAGGCCAGACACTCAGGCAGTCTAGTGATTTTTGAAACAGGTGTTCGCTAAGGTTTGGAGACGGTTTCTGTTTTTGACAGAGGGATGGGAAATGAAAAGGGGAGAGACAGAATGCTCTTGATAAAGAAACTGTAGAAGGTATGTATGATGAATCTTTTGGACACTGAAAGAGGTCATGTCCATTGGTGTGCCTACCTGATTATGAATTCTGTGTTTTGTTAAAATGTCCAGGTGTCACTGATTATATTGATGAAAACCTGCTTAAATCAAAGCTGGGACTTTGCACTTAAGTGATCCATTATTTTATTTTGAATTGAATGTGATGAAGGACAGTGACTAAAGAACAAAACTGTTGGTAGATACTGGACTGTATCTACCAACCTACCAATTCATCCCTCAGGTTGTTGAGTACAATGAGTTAATGAGGTTGAGCTTCAGCGACCAGTTTTGACTTGCCTCTGACCAACCAGCCTATCTAGTGGTCAATTTATCACCCATCTTCCAAACAACTGGTCTACTCGTCTACTTACCATCTACCTACTAGACTATATAACTACCTATCTACTTACCAACCTATCAATATTGTGTATATCTCTCTGCCTACCAAACTACCACCTTTCATATGAGCCCTCCTACCCATCTACCGACCAACAGAGTGCTGGCCTCCCAGTGATCACCTGCTTTCAGTTTTGCACAGTTAGCAGCAGGACACTCAGGAGTAGTTTGGAGACTGACAGCAGGTGAACAGTTAACATCTTCCAGTTAGATTTCTAAGCAAAACTATTAAAATCCAGCCTGAGGAACCCACAACATGAACTGATTTGTGTATTTAATGTAACAGTTGTGTATGCAACAGTTAATTAGTTCATTTCCTTATAGTGTTCAGTCATTCCCTCAGACTGCGCCCTGAACTGTCAGGTGAGCTAATGAAATAGAATCATGAGAATGACTCGCACACTTAAACGTGCGTGTTGCGTAATAATTGGATTTCAGATTAAGGAGCTGAACGGATTAGCCGCTGTATGCTAAAGGGAAGCACTTGCACTGCTATTATTAGGCTGACCCATTCTAATGGATGTGTTAGTGCCTTGGAACAGGCATCAGAGGTGGCGGTGAGGCATTCAGTTCTCTGCAGTCACCTGTTATATCACCGTTCATGTAAATTTGTGGATGGGAGTTTTCATGCTGCTGACGGACAGTTCTGATCACTGGAAATCAAGTTGAACAGGGATGTCTGACACAAACCCACCTGCTTCCAAAGCTCAATGATAGTTAAATCTAAAGCAACATTTCAACACGAAGAACAATTTTACTGTGACACTGATACATTTTGACTTTTGGCTTTCATAAAAATTTTACGTGCTTCTGAGTAAGCCACAAGCTGGTCTCGCAATCTGAGTTGGGCTCATTACGCATCACTGGAAACTTACTGGTACATTATATCTGTCGCAGTTGATAAATGATTATTTCTCAGCGACAGTACAATTTGACATGCAGTAATGGCATTATTGTTACATATTTTACAGTTTTTAGTCGATGCTTTGTTCGCTGTTTAGCCAAGGAAAAGTTGAAGCGTTGTTATACATTTGATATGTTTTGTTTCAAGATTCTTGGACAAATTTGTAAAGGATCTTTGAAGGCCAGAAGACAATGTACAGATTAAGCTATATTTTAAGCCATGGCTCAGGGGTTAGCACCGTCACCTCAAGCAAGAAGATGGTTTGTGTCTCTACCTGGGATCTTTCTGTGTGGAGTTTGCATGTTCTCCCAGTGCAGAATGGGTTCTCTCCTGGTTCTCTGGCTAGATGATGTTGAGGTTAATTGGTGATTCTAAATTGTCCGTAGGTGTGAATGTGAGTGTGCTTGCTTTTCTGTCTCTCTGTGTAGACCTGTGATAGATTGGTGACCTGTCCAGGGTGTCCCCTGCCTTCCTGTTCATCAATGTCACATTAAAATTGTTCTTTAACAGTTGTTCCCCCCCAGTTTTGGAGAATCGAGGCTCTACTTCAATCTACAAACAGTGTCTTGTTTTTGGAGCCCTGCCTCTTTGAAAGCAAGGGTCACACCTATCTAATAGTAGCTTTTAGAGTCACACTGGAAAGAAGAGCTCACAAAGCACTCCACTGACCATTATAAGGCTTTCTCATCTTTAACGATAGGAACTAACGCAGCCCTTTCCTCTGTTTTCTCTGGTCATAGATCAACAGTTTAAAAAACATAATTGCACCCTTCCATTTACGTAGATGGTTCATTTTATGCCATAACTCTCTTTCCAGCCCAAAATGCTTCTTTATTGCTGCTGAACAGGAAGCAAACTTACCCACAACAACAGGAAGCACCTTCATTGCCTTTCTTTCCCGGCTGTTGATCTTGGCCCTCTTCCTTCGGCGAGGGTCAGGGTTGAACTTGATGTCCGTGAAGCTCACCGTCGGCACAGGGCCGTCTTTACACTCTGAAGAAGGGAAAGGCTGCTCCGGGGACTGGAAGGTGGACGGTTCATCGGGAGTGTCCGTCACTTCCCGCTCTATGATAGGTGGCAGCGGCGGTGGCAGCGAGGCCAGAGGAGGCAGGGAGGCTGCTGCCTCCTGCAGTTTGCGGCAGGCCTGGATGCTGTTCTTCAGCTTCGCCTTACGTGCCTCCTCCCAGCGCCGCAGGCCGCGAAACATAGCACAGTACAGTAGCAGCATGATGGGACAGGGGATGAAGAAAGAGCACACAGATGAATAGAGGACATAATCATCGTTTTCCAGTTTACACTCAGTGGGGTCGCGACCCGGCACGTTGTTGATTCCAAATATGATGGGCGAGGCCACAGCCAAGGCCAGGATCCAGGTGGCCGACAGCAACACGGCCTGCCGTAGGTCCACATGTTTCCTGTTGTAGTTGAGGGGGATTGACACAGCGATGAACCTGCAACAGGCGAGAGAAATCTTACATGTTAGAATAACATCAATAAGAACACAGTCTGCCTAATCTGACTAGTTTATTGTTGGAAAAATTAAAAATGGAAGTTAAATTGCCAGAATTCTGACACACAAGTGTCTGCTGCTATACTGACAGTGAACATGAGAGCATGCCTCTTCCTCTCTGTCAATCTCACGATGGTAGTAATAATAATTACCTATATATTTGTCACACCTTTCATAGCAGACTTCTTGACCTGTCTCTGTAGGAAAATCAAAGGTGGAGCTAATAACATTAATGAAGTCTCGACCCAGCTATTACCGCAAAGCAGCAATTAATATTGTGATTAGCTACACTTGTGACTGACAGCTGCGGTAAAAAAATCTTTAGTTTCATTCTACACTCCAAATTTTCCTTCCTGATATTAGTCTCTGTGTATTCATTATATTGTAGAACAAGTATTTGCTGTCAAGTTCCTTCTAGCCCACCCAGCTACTGCCATCTGTGCAACGTGCATGTATCCTGATGCCCTCAAGAATCCATCAAGTCTAGTGCAACCACAGTGGCAGTAGTATTTAGCCTTTGTTACACATTGCAGCAGCTGGATACAGATAAGGGACTAATGAAGCAGAGCAAGAAATTACAGAAGTGCAATAATGCTCAAAAATAAAGATATAATAAAGGTCTCATAGAGACAATATACCAGACATGAGGATTTACTGTACTGAGATGTATTTAGCACTTTTTGTAGTACAATTCTAAAGATGAGTTTCCTACCATATGTACATTTTGCAGATCTTTTTAAATACTTTTTTTCAACAACAATTTGAACTTAAAACGAATACAGAACATTTTTAAGGTATAGGGACTATTGTTTTTCTACTTTAACTTACTCCATCACTGGACAAAACTAGTGCCGTTCCTTATGTCCGGGCATGAAACAAATAAATCATTTCTCTCCAGCTAACCTCACTGTCACAGTCTGTTCACTCTGTTTAAAACTGCTTTTCTACCTGACAAAGTTCATGGTACTTATCTACCTTCACACCTCAGTGCTACCTTCTATTTACACTTTTAACTCTAGTGTACCCGACTACAAATCAGTGTCTCTGGAAAAACGCTTCTTTCAAAACACTCTTCTGTCGGCCTGAAACAAATCTACTTCCAAAGCCTTCCTTAACTCATCTCAACATGACACACGACACCATTGTGCATCCATGTCATACTTGCCATCTGCTTTACATTTAAATTAACACCACTGAATAATATATACCTGTTTTACTGACATTCTGTAATCAGTCCTGCAGCTACACGTGTCTTCATAATGTTTGACTATATCAGATCAATGTTGTAAAACAGAAGTTGTTCTCTGGCTGAAAAAAGAAATAACAATACTTGTATATAAAAGTATGGCCAGCAGTAGGCTAGGTATGACACTGACTGGCAGGAAAAACAACTGGTCTGAGGGGCTACATGATTTTGGAAAAAGAAAAAATGA